AAAATATGATCAAAATATAACCTTTATTCTTAAAATAACAGGGATATGCATTTGTTCTCAAAATATGACTATTGCATTGTAATACTTCATATTGACATTGTTGTATTTCTTGGTTTTATATGTTGGCATTATTAAAATTTTAAGTCCTATTTTAGAGATAAAACTATGAATGTCATGTATGTTTAGTACCTTCCTTGTGTTTTAAACATATTTAAATATTTCTCCTTTAATTTATTAATTCTACCCTAATTTTTATATAAATTGAAATAAAAATAACTTCAATCAAATATCTTAGTATGAAAAGACAACATAATTTAGGGATGTAGGGAGTAATTTGCTTCCTAAAATCCTCTTATTTACTACTAACACGGTCAAATTATATTATCTTTCTTTATTTAATTTCATTGATCTGATAAGATAAAATAATCTTGTTAAAACTTTTTTTGTAGAACTCTTAATATGCTTTGTGAACTCAAACATATAAATTTTTTTTTTATTTTACATTAGAGCTGGCAAATCGGTCGGTCAAGTCGGTTCGGGTCAATTCGGGTTCGAGTTGAGAACTGTATGTTCATGACCTAATGTCATCGGGTTCGGTTCGATCCTACGGGTTATGACTTTGGTTTTTAAAATTTTTAAATTCATATTGACACCTGCATTTCCTATTAAATAAAATTAAAATATCAAAAATATGTTTGAAGTCTATTATATTGTTTTATTTTAAATTTTGAAGTTATTTTTAGGTGTATTATTAATCAATATAAAGAAGTTAAAATGCATAATTTTTGGAAAAAGTAAGATAGTTATGCAATATCCTTAAAGTTTTGTCCGAAAATCTAATTTTTTTTCCAAAAATATAAATTCATAACCTAAAAACAAGTATCAAGAAAAAAAATATAATTATAACCTTGTTTTTATTACACTAAATTTAATAGTAGAATGTATATATAATTTGGAAAAATTCTTACATTAGCAGGTTGGTCAGGTCGGATTCAGGTTCGGTCGGGTTTGACCAATTTTTAACGGATCATTTCGTGTTCGATCAACTCCGGGTTCGGTCAACAAATTCTTTGTTCAAAACCCAGTGTTTTCGGGTTGAGTTTCGGACCAAAAACAGGTCGGGTCATTTTTTGTCAGATCTATTTTACATCATTATTTATATAAACTAAATTAAAAGGTACTCTCTAGGTTCATAGTAATGTTCTAATTTTGGATTGCGATATTGACTGAAGTTTTTTTTTTAAATTTAATTTATAAAAAATTAGTGTACAATTAATTAATAAAACTTATACCGTATATATCTAAAGCCTACTTTAACATCTTGTTTGGATACATTTCGAGGGAGAAAAGAAAATAAGGATGGAAATTTGTGATGAGGAAATTACAGTTATTTTCGCTTCTCTTGCTTGGATATAATAGTGGAAGGAAAATAAAAAAGTAAATTTCATAAATGGTCCTTATTTATAGGTGGCTTTTTATATTTAGTACCCAATTCTTAGATATTGCATAAATGATCCTCAATTTTGATAACTATTCTATAATAATTCCTTTCAGGAACTATTTTTGAAAAAAGTATTCTCTCATATTTGGCCTATAAGTTTAATTATGGAATAATTTTCCAAAATTAAAGATTATTTATGAAATATCTTAGATTTGAGGGTTAAATCTAAAAAAATAATTTGTAATTGGGAATCATATATGAATTGACTCTAAATAAAATTTTTACCTCTTTTGAGAAAGATCAATAATGAGGAAAAAATAACTAAATACTCTGTGATTTTTATCTCTCCTTGTTTTTCTTCACTCTTCCTAACATAATTTTTTTTTTGCCTGTTTACTTTACATGCAATATTTTCTTTCCTCTCATAAAAGTTATAAAAAATTAAGAATAAGAAAATAATTTTATTTTATCAAATAATTAATAAAAATAAATAAATATGTAAAATTAGACTTGTCCAAATTTAAAAGGGGAAAATTAGTTAGGGAGGATGAGTAATAAATCTGCACATTGGTGTGTTAAAACTTTGGTCTCGTGCACGTGATTCTCTCTGTGCCTAAACATGCGGGCCATAGTCCGCGTTAGATCTAGATAGGGATGGGTATGGGTCGGATGGGGCCCGTTTTAAGAGGACTCATCCACGCGAATCGTGTCCGGTCGGGGAATGTTAAAATTGAATTTCACTCTAACCTGACTCCGCTTAAACGTGCCGGACCGCCGGTTCTACAAGTAAGGCTTCGTTCCGTTCAACTTATTTTTTCTGATCTGATCTGATTTTAATAAGTTCTGATCTGATTTGATTGGATCTGATCTGATCAGATCTGACTATATCTGATCTGATCTGGTCTGATCTGATTGAATCTGATCTGATTGGATCTGATCTAATCTAATCTGGTCTGATCTGATTAATTATGATTTCATTTAAAATTCAAATCAATAATTTGATTTGACTTTATAATAACGTTTGAAAATTATAATGATAATTCATATTATAATATAATCAATATTTTTTATTTAATGATTATTTTTTAATAAAATAAAATTAGTTAATTCATAAATTAGAACAATCATTCATATTATAATGTAATAATATTTTTTATTTTATGATTATTTTTTGTGAAATTAGAATATTAATTTAATATTTTAATAATTATTTTATATATACATTCGAATAAATATTTAATTTATATATACATTAAAAAGTAATTAAATTTAGATAATCAATATATAGAAGAGATAGTATTTTTATTAAAATATCTCATCCTTATAAAAGATCAAAACTTTAGAAATTCAAATTACAAGTAGAAATAAAAATATATTTTAAAAGTAGAATTAGATTGATATTGTCAACGTATTTTAAAACTAATTTTTTCGACGTCTAATAATTAAGGATTACTTTCTCAGTTTTCTATTTAACCTATTTCTAAAGTTTATTCTTTTTCATTTTTAAGAACAACAACAACAACAACAACAATAATAATAATAATAATAATAATAATAATAATATAATAATAATAATAATAATAATAATAATAATAATTTTTGATGGGATCTGATTATAATAAGTTCTGATCTGATCTGATTGGATCTGATCTGATCTGATTGGATTTGATCTGATCTGATCTGATTCGATCTGATCTGATCTGATTCGATCTGATCTGATCTGATTCGATCTGATCTGATCTGATTCGATCTGATCTAATCTAGTCTGATCTGATCTGATTTTAATAAGAATAAGAAAAAATAAAAAAATAAGTTGAACGGAACGGGCCTAAACCGGCTCTACTTCAAGATGGATGCATGTTTTAAAATTTTATTTTAAGATATGAATTAGTTTTACAACTTTTGTTTATATAAATTTTATTTCTATTCGAATTTATAAAAAAAATCTTTTGAAATTGTCATATCGTGTTGAATGTTTTCCCAAGTTACACGGACATTTATTTATGTGATATGTCAGGATTTGAACTAATTTCATCAAAAAAAAATTAATATCTTATAGCCATTACATATAAATGTAGATTAGTTTTAAACACATTTTGATCTATACACATTAAAATTTCTGTCCAACTGAATATTTTCAATTCTCTGGTTGTACTATAATATTCATTTTTTTATGCAAAATTATATTCCAATCAAGAAAATTTAAGTATACAAAAATAAGCATTACTAATAAAGATGAAGAAAATATTGCTTTTGAAAAATATGTTTCCTTATGAAAATATTTTCATTCAAAAATTAAATTTTAAAAATTGGTACTGTGATGTAGAGAGATAATATCTCATAACAAAAGTTGAGTCTTAATAGATTATTTTGTTATATTTCTTGAATTTTATACGTTAATATTTAAAGATTCTAAAAAAGCAATCTTATTATAAAACTGTAAATCCATTCATAAATATATATTTAAGAGAATTGTACTTATAAAGAAATTCCTTATTAATTTTTTCATATACCAATTGTGCGAAAGTTTAAAAGGTTTCATTTTAAGGTGATACACATTTCTTATTTAATTAAAACAATTATATCTCTATTGAAAAAAAATATATTCTACATGTAAATGATGAAATAAAATTATTTATATAATAAAAAAAATTTATCACTGTGTATGGAATAAACTTATCAATGAATAGAGAATATATAATTATTAAAAATAATTTAATAAATTTAAGCATACGTTGTCAGTGATGAAATAAATTAAGTTATATTTTGAAATAAATTATTAACCTTCCCATGATTATATTATTAGAAAAATCTACTACGTATTTGACAATATATATTTCACGAGTGGTCTTATTTAAGTACACTACGAATAAGGCAAATTCTATGTTGGACCTATGTATGAGCAATATAAGCATTTTTTTACTAAATAAGTATTTGTTTTTTTAAATAAAAAGTAAAAAAAATTATGTGAGAAGATCCACAAAAAGATATGGACAGGTTCACCAAAGAAGCACTATACGAATAAATGTTGACCCTAACCTTGTTCCAAAATTATGTCATTTAAGTTGGCCACATGGGAATTTACTTGTCAAAAATTAATGCTACATTGATATCTTAAAAGTCAAGTTTTTAGATGTTTGAGTCTCAAATATTATGTTAACTAGTATTTTGACTCGTGTCACGCACGGGGTGAAATGATTTTTTTATTTTATAATTTTTATTCACACATCATTTTTCCTATATCAAACAAAATAAAACATCAACCCTAAAAGCTAAAATTAATAATGATAAGACACATAACATTTGTTAATGAAATTTTTACATTATGCATGTTAGGCCCCCTACTGCAAACAAATGGAAAGGAAAGAAAAAGAACACGCAAAATATTTAACGTGGTTCAGCACCTCAAGGCCTACTCCACGACCCCCTCTGGGATAAAATCTCACTAGTAATTTTTGCACGGAAAAATTACAAACCCTCTCTAATATTTGACACTCACAACCTAACATCTAATACACAATTATATAGATTGAAGGATTGTGTTGTGTGTTAGAAGCCTATACCCCCTCTCTATTTATAGGCTCCAATCCCTCCTCAATTTTCCTATCCCACCGATGTGGGACTTTGAAGTAACACTCAACAAATCTCCCCTTAATTCAAAGTCCTACATCATATGCGATTTCTGCAGCGATACTCCCATCCTGCACAATCTTTTGTCCAGCAGTACTCTTATCTTCAGAAGAGATCATCTTCATAAGTGATCACATTTGCGGAAGAAGCTTCCTTTGATTTGCCCTTCTTCTCCTTTAGGGTCTGCAAATCCTCCTTGAGTTCTGGACAACCGTTCTTTGTGTGACCCAACTTTTCACAGTAATAGCACCTAACAGTGCTCATGTCTCTCAGATCTTCTCCCAAGTTGGTCACTTTTCTTCTTCCTCCCTTTCTCAACACTCACAGCAGCTAGTAAATGATTGTCCCCAGAAGACTCTTCACCTCCCATCATCCTTTGACTCTCCTTCAAGGCAGTCGTCACCTCATCTAGTCGCAGTGTAGTCCTTCCTGCAATCATTGACTGCACAAACGGCTTAAAGGATTTTGGTAGTGAAGCCAGTAGAAGCAGCCATTGCTCTTCATCCTTGATAGTTTCCCCTGCATTTAACAGCCTTGATACTAGCTCATTAAACTTGTTGATGTGATCAGTTACGCTACCTCCCTCTTCCATCTTCAGTGAGTACAAGTCCATCCTCATCATCAACCGGTTAGTAAGTGTCTTCGACGCAAACTTGCTCTCCAACGTTTCCCACAGCTTCTTTGGTGATGTCTCTTTCAGCACTGTCACTTTAATNNNNCTGCATTTAACAGCCTTGATACTAGCTCATTAAACTTGTTGATGTGATCAGTTACGCTACCTCCCTCTTCCATCTTCAGTGAGTACAAGTCCATCCTCATCATCAACCGGTTAGTAAGTGTCTTCGACGCAAACTTGCTCTCCAACGTTTCCCACAGCTTCTTTGGTGATGTCTCTTTCAGCACTGTCACTTTAATCTGTGGGGACAGTGCCAACAGAATTGTGCTGACAGCCTTCTTCTGGATTATACTCCACTCTGATTCTTTCATATCACTTGGCTTCTCATCTTGTAATGCTAATTCAAAACCTTGCTGGACCAAATAGTCTTGAATCGTGCATTGCCATAACATGAAGTCCACTCTTCCATCAAATAACGGAACTTCAAACTTCAAGGTAGTCATAGTTTCACTCAAGCAGCAATCAACCAATACCAAACAATCCAAATTTGAGGAAACTGGCCTCAAAAATGGAATCAAGACGTCAAAATTAGTCAGAACCAACTTCTCTCCAAAAATCACCAACGGGACGCACACGATGACTGGACTTGTTGACTTGGCGATGGGACACACTGATGACTGGACCTGCTGACGTGGCGATGACTGGATGATGACGTGGCACTCGAAACCCACAAACTGCTGACGTGGCACTCACAGACCCACCTCTAATATTTGACACTCACAACCTAACATCTAATACACAATTATATAGATTGAAGGATTGTGTTGTGTGTTGGAAGCCTATACCCCCTCTCTATTTATAGGCTCCAATCCCTCCTCAATTTTCCTATCCCACCGATGTGGGACTTTGAAGTAACACTCAACAATGCATTTAAAATTTAAATGTCAAAGTATTTTACAAATTTAAGTATTTCAAAAGATTTGTGGTTCAACATTTTTCGTGATGTTATAAAGATTTTCAAAGACACTTAAAAGAATGATAATGTTTTGTCTTAACTTTATTTATAATCATAATCTTGTATAAAATGATACATATTTCATTTGCTTTAGGTCATGTAAATGTTCTCTATGACCTTGTTTCCCAATACTATAATCATTTTGAGATAGTTTTCATAATTCTTTAATGATTAAACTTATGCTATTATACAATTCAGATGATTGAACATTGTAAAGTCAAAATGGTAAGGATTTAAAGAAACAGAGGGAGTAATTAAAATTAATAATAATTAGTGTTTTTTTCAAAAAAAAAGTAGTACAACTACAAATTCTTTTAATAATAATAATAATTAATATCATTATTTATATTAATATATATAATTAGTAATGGTAATACTCTATTTATAATAATAATTATTACTGCATATTTAGCACTATTTATAATTTATTAGTGCTTTTTTGTATACATTACAGTAGTAAAATTACTTTTTTAGGGTGTAAAATTACTAATAATTGTTTTATAATAATAATAATAATAGAAAAATAAGAAGAATAAAAGGGGGGGTGTGGTTTGGGGAGCTGGGGGGGCTAGATGTGGATGAGAACAAAGAAGAAGAAGAGAAGGAAGATGAGGAGGGGAAGGACCTGCACGAAGAAGAAGAATGGCGAGGGAAGGACCAGGATGATGGATGATGATGATGATATGATGGTGATGGTGTAGAAATGACGGAGGTAGACATGTAGTAGGAACAAACGGAAGGATGGAAAATCACCCTTCAATTATTTTTTTATTATTTTAGGGTACCTCGTAGTATATTTTAAAAACTAGTACTTTAATCCGTGCCAAGCACGGGTGGAATGAAATTGTTTTTTGTTGTACAATATCAAATATTTAATTTAAACAACTTAACTTTTTTATGTTATATACCATTTAAATTTCATATATATATATATATATATATATATATATATATATATATATATATATATATATATATATATATATATATATATATATATGCCATTTGCTGGTCTGTTATTCCGACACTCTTGAAGTGAAACTTTGATTAATATTCATTTTCCCTTGGTTATCTGTGAGCCATGATGATTGCTATGTTCTTTGCCTTTTCTTTTTTCCACCAGAAACTCATGAGAATCTCTGATTCCCCCCTCCTCCACACAACTTTTTCCCTCTGAAAAGATGGGTTGCAATTACATCAATTAGTCTTTTTGATTAAAAAAGGTTTCGTAGGACACAATTGTCCATAACTTTGGCCTCAAATTGGGAAGCCAGTAACTCCTGATAATACCAATGAAAAATGTCCAATTGTGTGGTGTGTGGTATGGTATGAAACCATTGCATATATATATATCAAGAACACATCTTTATCTTCATTTTTTGTCGTATTAGATAAATATTGGGCTGGTTTGATAGGGGGCCATAGAGATTAGATTTTAACCTCATATTCTTTAAGTTGTCTGCGTTCTTTTTAAAACATTCTTGGTTTTAACAACAATAAAATTTTGTAATAGTTTATTTTGTTTTAAATCAGTGGAAAGTTCCTCTTTTTTAGCAATATACGAATCAAATGCAGTTGTGGTTAGTTAGATTGGTCCTTTTACATCACCATGTGAATTGGGATTTTAACTATATATAGCCAGTTGTATCTATTTGGAGGTCCAAGGAATTACACTTTTGGCATTATTCATTGGGTTAGACTGAAATATATATATATATTTGCTCATAGTATATAGATTGCTATGTTCCCTCATAGTTCTTCAATTCTTTCTCCTTGCCAGGATCCCAGACAACTTCAAAAGAGCTTTTGTAGGTTTTTTATATGACAACTTTCTTTATATCTGAAGAAGGTTATGCTATTATGCAGGTTATGCACCCCAATTCAAGAGCTTGAGGTTCCATCATAGCTAAGAGAATGCCAGGTTATCGTATCACAATCATCATATCCTATATATATATATATATAAAGGAGAGTTAAACAATTGTGGGGATGCCATGTGTCAAGCCAAGTAGACTATTTTTGGTGCTTATTTGGACAATTGTTTGCTGACTCATCAAATAAAACAAATACAACAATCTTCGTACTGGTGATTGCTATCCACTGCCGTCCCTTCTATTTCCCATCCATTTTGCCTCTTTGGGTTTACAATCAACGGCGATCAAGAGTTCCCAGCGGCCATCAACAGTCGTCTAGCGCAAGAGTTCCACCACACTTCTTCCTCTCCGTAATGCCTGCCCGATTCTTCTAACAGCTTTGATGAATCTAAGGATTTAATCGGCGACCGTCTGCTTCCTCAGGCTGTTCGTCTTCCTTCCTCCACTGCACGAGCTTCATTTTTTCATGATTTCAAATACGGAGTAACCAGATTTGGCTTGAAATATGCTGAAAAGGTACATGCCTCAGGCTGTTCGTCTTCAATTTTAAGGATTGTCTAAAATTGAATTTCTTGGTTTGCATTTATTTGGTCTTCAAATTTATTCTGACTTTTATGTTTAATGTGTTTTTAGATTTAAAATCTTGATCAGGTATGGTATACTACCTGCATTGGGTTCCCTTGAACCTAGCCAACAATTTGAATAATCCTTTTGTTCCTCTAGATTTCCTTGAGTCGAAGTTGTCTGTTGAAGATGGAGGAGGAGCATGAGCTGGAGGTAAGCTCTTGAAAGACAATAAAAATCTGCAATATAAGTGTACACTATAGCGTCTAATTGGCTTGAATTTGTTATCATGAGCTTTCTGATATGTATACACTTTTTCCAGTACATGCACATCTATTATTTTTATAGAAATTGGATTGTTTTGTTTATATGTTATGATTATGACTATTTATTTGAATTTAAACAATTTGGGGAAGGCTTAGGATCTTTGCATAATAATAATGAACAGGATAAAAAAACTTTCACTCTCTTTTTAACCCCTCTCGATGGGCAAAGAGAGAGGTAAGCAAGAAATCTCAGATATCCTCCATGGAACCTACAATGAGAAGTGCTTCTATTGCAACGAATGACCAGTCTTAGGCTTCAACTGTGAGCAATTCATCAAAATAGATTTATTTATGTTTTCGTTAAAATAGATTTATATCTGCTTTCATTTCAGGTGCATTGCACATATCAGATTATTATTTTTCTCCTGATTGCTCACTTTAGCCTTCCACCTTCCATGTACTTTAGGTTCCTTTCCTTCGGCGATTATTTTGGTATAATTTATAAGCAGGTCAGCCATTTCAGGTATTCACCTCTGTATTTTCACCAATAATTTGTATTTAAAAGATAGCATACATGATACACCCAAAGCTTTATTGCGACTAAAGTACTCATGTAGTGTATCATAGGGCCTGTGCAAAACAGAGAGGTATTTACCATCCACATCATTACAACGTCCATTTATTTCAACACCTCCACACCTACATTTAACAATCTCAATTCACTATCTCTCTTTTAAGTTTGCTCCTTTGTAATGGTTGATCGCAGTAGATGTTTATAGACAAATGAGAACATTTCCACAGGGACTGCTAGCGAAGCTACCTCCTACCACACAAACCCAAGAGGACCCCATATAGAACAATGGAAATAAAAAGAAGCTCTTGAGGTTTTGGTGTCTCTTTTTAACCAATGAATTGTTGTTTCCTAATCCATGCTTAGCTTTTTAATTTAAATAAAACACTGAATATTATGCCTGTGATGACATCACTAATTCACTGATAATATTGGACTAATTGCGGATTGTCTTGAAGCTTGAGGCCTAGCATTTGATTGAGGTGCAATTGCTATGTTTGAATCCCAATGAAGACCCAAGTAAATTTTATTTTTAGAAATCAGGTAAGGTATGTAAATCTTTAGAACACGTGGTGTGGTGTCTAAGATGTGAGCTTAATAAAAGGCATTTGTTTATATTAAGGATTGAGTTTGTTTTGTTTTTGAACTCATGTTATTAAATAATGTATTATTTACACAACGGTATGTGCTGAATGTTTAAGAATTTGAGGCTTAATATGATGATGAGTTTGTGAATTTATGTTCATGTTGATACTGAAAGTTGTGCTTCATTTGTTGTTTTTGTGAAATATTAGTTCTATTTTTTTGAAAAACTGCATTTTGAATAATATTTTCTTCATTTTGCTTGCGTTTTAATTGTGGGGCTGCCACGTGTCAGGCCACACGATGTTTTTTTAAGAAGTGCCAGTCCATGTAGGACGTTATTTGCTGAGGTGTCATACTCCTTTTTTCTTTCATCGTCTCTTAGGCGATCGAGATTAGGGTTGTAAATTGCGACCAACACTGCATGAACTCCAATCGCCTTCCAAGATCCCATCCACCGCAGGACTTCAAAAATCCATAGCTAGATTGCCTTCTCAGATCCCAACTTCCGCAGCACTCCATCCGCCGTAGCACTCCTGGTAATATCCGAATCCTTAATTTCTTCTCTTTATTCTATTTCTCGAATTCAATTTTTTGGGTTTTTTTGTATCTTTATACTAATAATAAGGTATACTATCCACTGTTTGGATGGTCAGGCATTTTGATTATGATCATGATGATTTTATGAATTTGAGATTTGATTTTGAATGCTGAAATTTTCCATGTCAAATCTAAAAGAAAAAGGCATTCATATGATATTTGTATTTTGAACATTATACTTTCAGGATCTTTTTAAGATATGTTATACTCCGTACCTAATTAACACGAATGATTAGGCGATATACATTGTGGGATGAATTCAGTTATAAATTTTGAAAGCAACTATCTTCGTATCAGTGCATTTTCAAAATATATACTTTTATTTTCAGATGCATCATCAACCAGAAGCAACAATCACAGGAGGTACATACAATTTCTTGAACTACGTTGGCCATACAAGTTTAATGCACTGTGTTGATTTGTTGCAAATAATTTCTTTCAATTTCTATAACTAATATACTAACATGTACGATGGAGTTTTTCCTCTCTAAAAACTCAAGCATTACCGGGCATGAAACATACACATGTACATCATCTATACACTCTCGGTCAATTTTGTGTATTACACTTGCTTTTGAACCTCTTATGTAACATAAGGCTCTAAAGAATGGATTTTTTTCTATTCAAATGGAGGAAAAAATCAAAGGAAATGGTGTAGATTAAACAATGCACTTTGGAAAAAGAAGAAAATTTATATATGGGTGTATGAGAATCATTCTTTAACTTTTAGGCTTCTAAATCGTATTGGTTAATGCTTTTTCATCTCACAGTTGATTCACATTGGTAACATCGCTCAATGGCGACCTGAGATGGCATTAGACACTACAATTGCAGTTCCAGAGAGGTGGCATCAACCTTCGGTGCCCATCCAAAAAAAGGTATTTTCTAATTCCTTAACCAAAGGTTCAATATGTTCTCTGCTCTTTTCGGAGACGAACGATGACACCCATCAAAAACCTTTGCGTCTCCACTTCTTGCCAACATCACCAGCTTTATTTTTATCCCATCAATTCATAAAACCATATATCTGAGGTTTTTTCAATCCTCAATTTCACTTTAAAATATTCATATTTAAAATAAATGTTTTTATTTGTGTACAGAATTAGTTGAAACGTATTTCCTAGATGTTCTTCAGGTTTGTGTGCTTTTTTTAATCGTTAGGCTAAATGCACATGTTCTATCTCGAGGACGGTGTTGAGGATGAAAATGTCGGTACGAACTTTAGTTGTTTTTCTGAGGAGACAAAACAATAGGGCAGATTGGCATTCATAAGTTTTTACGTCATGGGGGAGAAACTGAATGTATTTTAAATATGCACTGCGTTTTGTGAGTATAGGTGTTCAAAGCTATAATATATTTCTAATGCAATGCATCCTTTTCTATTTGTGTAACTACTAGGGTATACTCTCTTTTCCCCCGTTTTCAGTAAAACAACATTACCCTCAGTGTTCTTACATAAATGATTTTAAGGCTTTAAAATTTAATTTTAGTATGTTTAAGTTGAAATATAGTCACAGGTTAAAAATGTGATAACAAATTTACAGAGTTGATTTTGTGGGAGAGCAAGAGAGTATTTGTGTAATTACCCTATGCTCTGTAAATCAATTCAATTCCAATTCCATCAATTCTATGTACCAAAGGGACCTGTAAGTCCGTTTGGTATATGGAATTGATGGAATTAGAATTGAAATGAAATTGAAATTCCGTGTACCAAATGGAGCCTTATGTTTTTTATCTGCTCAGGGCAAGAGTAATACCGCCATTGTTTTCTGATATAAATGATTTCAACACTTAATTTTTATTCATTATTGTGTTCAAATTTACTATGCATTATATAATACGAAAATACTAATACTTTTAAAGTATGCTAAGGAAGATATTTTTGTGGGAGACTTACTCTCTCTGGTTTATTCTATTCAGGGTTTCTAGAATTAGGCGTATTCATGTGTTTTAGTTATGGCTATGGCAAAGGCAGATCTCGATCTTGACTAATGGTGATGACAACTAGCTTGGTTTGCTTTGATGCTGGTTTCTTTAGTGCCCAATTGGGTAGGGCATTTTTTTTTGTAAAAATAGGTCAAGTTTATTGAATTCAAGAAGGATTTTAGTTTTATTTTGTTCTTTAGTTTAGGTAGTTTTTTTAATAGGACCAAGACTATTAGGAGACTTTGTCATGGTACAATATTTGACTTATTGATTAGGGAAAAGTTTTTTTCCCGTTTCTTCCCCTAACCCGGTTTTGGTCATAACTCCTAAGAGTTACACTCCTATTTTTATAGGGGCTTTAATTTAGTCCTCTTTTATATTTTTAATTTTTTTGGCATTTATAAACTTTACTATTCTTTATTTTTTTAAACTACCTGAACAAAATGGTGATAATTGACATCTAGGGGCATAACATGCAGTAACTAATTTGCATTCAACAAACACGTGTATACATCCCCAGCCCGTGCGAAGCACGGGGTAGACAACTAGTCACCTTATAATGTAAGCTTTCTTTAATTAAAATAATAGGTCAAATTAGCAAGATAAAGTACAAAAGTCAAATTAAATATTCCTCCTATGTAATTTGGTTTAAACACTTGATCATTTAAAAAAATAATTGAGTCATATCTTAATATATAGAAGTTTAATATAGGGATTAAGAAGTATTTGTTATTTTACATCAATATTTAAATAAATAGAATAAAACTAACTTCCCTTAATCATGACATAAAGAAATACTTGGTCCGTCTCTGAGTGTTTGTCCACTTTTGACTTTTGGAACGGTTCATCTAAGTACTTTGACTCATCAAATTCTCCCAATGTGTAAGCCAAAAAATAGTCATGTGTGATCTTGTTTGATTCGTCTTAACATATAGATTATTAATATATAATTTTTATAATTTTTTAATATACAAATTACAAGATAAAATGGATTAAAGAAGTACATTGGATGATGTGGAAAAATGAAAGTGGACAAACACTCAGGGACGGAGGGAGTATGAAATATTTTTAGAGATGAAGAGAGTAGTTTGTATATTCATTTAAAGTATTTTAATGAAAAATTAAGATCTCTATTTCTTAATTAAATGTACTCAATGATAATAAAATCATAAATAATGTTAGTGTAAGATAATAAGTCCCAATGATATATTTTGTTTTAATCATTTGTATTTTATAATATAACAAAAATTGTTTTAAATATGTTTTTATTCCCTATAAAATAAGAAATTTTTGTTTTTAGTCCCTGTAAAATATTTTTTGATAAAATCATCCATACAAAATATTTTAATTTGAAAATAGTCCTTAACGTAATTAGCACTTCTAATTAGATGAAATAGTACATTTGTTTTATACTCAACATATTCGTCATGTATTTCTAGTTACATCTGATGTAATTTCTAAACCCTAAATCGTGTACTTATTCATATTAGATATATCCGGCTCTCAAACTTCTTACGAATATATTACAATCAAAATTTGAGAATTGGAAATGCAATTTGATAAAAGACACAATTATTGGCATCAAAATTGTGTCTAAAGTAATTGCAAATCTAAAACTAAGCTATTGAGTACAAAATAAATATGTTATGTCAACAACTTAAAAGTCTTTATTACATATAAAGATCAGTATCAAAATAAAATTTTTGGTAATGATGACTTAAAAAAATTATATTTCAGGGACCAAAAACAAAACTCACCTATTTTTAAGGGACTAAAAATATATTTAACCCTTAAAAATATCATAATAAATAATAATAAAACAATATATTTGCAAATTAAATCATAAATCATTTAAGAACTATTAGCCATAATTTTTTTAGTAAATACATTAAACCATGAAATTAATATAATCAAATTACGAAATAATATCTAATATATTTTACCTGCTTTAATAATTTATTGTCTAATATTCTCATGTTTTATAAAGTTTCATTGTAGTTTTAAAATAAGTTTTTTGTTTATTAACTTACATGAATATTTTAATAAATATAATCCAACTGCTTGCTTCGATTTAAATATATCATAAAAAATATGAAATTTATTTAGAAGTGAAGAAATATCTTATTAATTACTTAGGGCCAATTTGGTGAATTTTGGATGAAAACTCAGAGAAATTATATGAATTTTATAATCTGAAATGATTTTATTTAGAGAGATTTAAATTCAAGATTTAATTAGTGATAAGCAAGGGTGACTGACAACGGGAGTGGTTGGCAGTGACAATGGTTGCGAGTGGCGAAGAATGATCAACAGTTGATAGAGATATCAATTATAAACATATTTGTTCCTTTCCAATAAGAATACTTTTAAACGAAAATATATCATTATCAAAATTTTGTTTTTTGTGTATGCAGTTAGTTAAAAATTTGATTCATAAAAAATGCTAGTCTAGAAATGGTCAGTGATAATACCAGTTTTATATATTCACTAATTTTTTGCTACATCATAATAAGTTTTATCATAAAATTATATTTTATATAATTGTTTTCCTTTAATAATTTTATTTCGGACAATATTATATTTATCTTTCACAAATTTGATTTTATAACATAATTAATTTTATCACAGCATAACAAATAAATAAATGAATTGCTTTTTAAAAATAAAAAATATAAATACTCAACTAATGTCACGAAGTAATGAATTATTTATTTGTCTTAAATCTTTTTATGTAAATTTTTTCTAAAATTTGAAATCATTATTAAATTTCTACGGAGTATTTTAAAATAAAAAGATAGGTCAATTCATCATTCATAAAATTTGCCACATAAGCAACCAATAAAGGCTTGTCATCTCACCTTAATATAGTCCACATAGCTTGACACTTGGCGACTTTCTAGCAAACAGAGTCTCAAATATATCTTTCACAAATTTGATTTTATAACATAATTAGTTTTATCACATCATAACAAATAAATAAATGAGTTGCTTTTTAAAAATAAAAAATATAAATACTCAACTAATGTCACGAAGTAATAAATTTTTTATTTGTCCTAAATCTTTTTACGTGAAATTTTTCCAAAATTTGAAATCATTATTAAATTTTTATTTTAAAATTAAAAGAAAGGTCAATTCATCATTAATAAAATTTGCCACATAAACAACCAATAAAGACTTACTATCTCACCTTAATATTGCCCACATAAACTTGACACTTAAGGACTTTCTAGCAAACGTAGTCTCAAATTTTATACTCCGTATTAAAGGACCAGAGATACCTGATAAACATTATTTCAAAATAGAGATCAACTAGATATCAATTTTTTTGTTTTTTTATGAACGGGTTGAATTACTTTGAATAAAGGGAGAGAGTATCTTGGAGACCTAACCTAGCAGACTCTAGCAGCATTGCGCCTAACTCTATCGACCAAGTCATCTCCTTCATTCCTTCTCTGTTTGCGTCTTATAGCGCACACATTCTACTCTCTCTATCTGTAAGTTTGGTTTCAACTGTTAAATTTCAATAGCTTAAACCCTAATTGTATTTAATTGTTTCGTTTAAAATGGTTATATGATTTCGCAGTTTTATTTTTGTATCCTTGTAATCTCTGTAACTGGACTTGTCAATTTTTTTTAGTTTTGCTAGAACTTCAAACCCTAATTTCTTCAAGTTTGATTGAAACCTCTTTTTATTTTCCGCTTTTTTTATGGTTTTATTCCGAAGTACGGAGTATATTGCAAATTAGTGTAAATGTGTCTTTGATTAAAAAATAGTGTAATATGTGTAAAGTCTTGTGCTTTTGCAAGAATTATATAAATTTATATAGCTCAACTACGTTATATGCTGAACTTATAATAAGTTGAAAAAACCAGACTAACAGTTATTGTTTATCAACTTATATATGAAGTTTCTGTTTATGTTTCTGTGTTATGTTTAAAACATGTTTGATTGAAAGTTGGAAATCTGGATTTATTTATTTATTTATTTTTGCATCGCTTTTTTACAATTACAGAATTTGTTAGGCATCTAGCTTAATGATTTGGAGTTCATATGCGCTGATTAATATCTTATCGTGTTTTTTTCCTTAAAAATATCTATTTATATAAAGTATACTTTCTAATTTGTAATTTGCAAGATTATAATTTGATATAACTCAAGTTGTCACATTTAACATGTTGGAGACGTCTTTTGCAGCATACATATAAATTTGGGTTTCTTTGATGAAAAAGGATTCTTTTAAAATGATACATTGTATTTGTTTTTGCAAAAGATGCATATTCAATTCCTTGGAGACCAATTGTTTAGAAAGATTTGACATCGTTCAATTTTTTTCTTGATCCGCTCACAAACGCGCTTAAACATATACATTAACGTTTTTGAATGGCTATCTCAATATATCAATTATATAAGCATTAATTTGTTGTGTTTTAACCCCTCTGTTCAATTATACCAATCTCATTTCTGTTTATGATGCATGCTTGAAGTTATTTTTTCATTTCAATTATTGAAATATTGGTACAAAATTTTTATAATATTGGTACAAAATTTAAATATATATATATATATGTGTGTGTGTGTGTGTGTGTGTGTGAGTGTGTGTGTGTAAAGTAAATACTACATCCGAAGCTCTAAAAAATAAGCGATGACTTAACTATGTTATTGGATCAAATGATTACCAAAAATACGTAAGGAAATAAGTTATGGTTTGACCATGTTAATAGCCAACAAGATTGTGCTCCCACATTTTCACTTATATGCAAAGATGTAATTATTATTTTTTTAAAAAATTAGTTCTGATTTAAGCCGTAGACTGCAGTCCCACATTTTCAGACTTGGCCATAGTTTTCATTTACTAGGTTCGCTTTGTCTCTCGCACAAACATCTTGAATATGTTGAGGAGGAACATAAGGTTGAGGAGAGAGTACCTTTACAGGAAGAGTCTGGAAGGAAAAGATCGTTTGCTTTATGAGAAGAAACGCAAAATTAGAGAAGCTCTTGAAGGTCCGGTTCGATTATTTCATTACTATATTTCAAAATTCTCACAAGAGCTAAAAGTTGTAGCATATTATTTTGATTTATTATAATTATAATTATTTTTTTACTACTACTACTATTACCGTTATTATTACTATTATGTGTGTGTGTGTGTGAGTACATCCTCAATGGTTTCTTTTGGTGGGCAGAGGGAAAGCCAATCCCAACTGAACTCAGAAACGAAGAAGCAGCTCTTCGTCAACAAATTGACCTTGAAGATGAACACACAGCTGGTATGTTTCACAGGTTTCATGTATTTGAAACTGGTTTTCGGCTCAAAGCAAAAATGACTTTTCTGCTTATTAAACTGAAAGCTACAAGAGGTTTTTTTTGGCATGCTTGTAATGTAAAAAAATGGAAATGATTTATTTCTTTGAGTTGAGATTATGAGTGTTGTGCGTTGGAAACTTGGAATTCAAATTGAAGGATTGAAATTCGATAAAATTTCATTTGAGGTTAGGTTTTGGGTTGGATTGGAAGAGTTGATGTGCTAACTTCAATGTAGCTATCTATGATCCAGTCATATGAATTTGAATATGAGTTAATGCTTTCTATTATCATTTACAATTTGGCATGTAGTGCCTAGGTCTACTATTGACGATGAATATGCACATGCTGCCGAAAAGGATCCCAAAATTTTGATTACTACTTCTCTCAACCCAAGTGATCCTCTAACTCGATTTGTCAAGGTTCTTCCTTTCTGATGTTTGTCCATTCTTTTTCTTGAATAAAGCATAGTCCAAGTTCATTCTCTTCTTTTTTGGGGCATCATCATGCACTCATGCCATTATCCATTCAGAGCAATTATTTGCATTCTATGACTTATCTACTATCTCTGGTCCTTATGATAGGAATTAAAGATTGTATTCCCTAATGCGATACGAATGAATCGTGGCAGTCAGGTTGGTGGACCTTTCAGTTATATTTCTCACATGTACTGTATTTTCTTGTTCAGTTGTAGATTACATTAAAGAGGGAAGCTCCTTGAACTTAAATTTGAATACTTCAGTTTTCATCATTATTAATATAGGGTCAAGCTGAAATTCATGGTGTAGTTAACTTTTATATGAAATTAATACTTATGGATGGGCTTTGTTCGTGCTGTGTACTCTTATTCTATCTTTCGGTAGGGTATATGTACTGTATACATTTGATAAATATATTTGTTTTTGCATGACTGAAGTTCTTCTCTATTTGTGTTATTCTCTATGTCAATGATTTACTCACTTTCATTTTTCTATTATAGAACTAATTATAGGCCGACCTCAAATAGATTATCCCAGGAGACATACCTTGTTAACTTTGTTCTTCATGCAGGGAATACCGGAAATCATTGAAACTTGCCGTAGTCATGACTTTACGGATGTGGTTTTAGTTCATGAGTTTCGAGGAGTTCCTGATGGAATTATCATCAGTCATTTACCTTTCGGTCCAACTGCCCACTTTAGATTACTCAATGTGGTGAGTTGTCTTAGTCTTGAAACCATTTTTGAACTCGTACTCTTATTTTTTTCTGAAGTGGTGAAGATCAGCTATGTGTAAAAGTCGCTTTGATGTTTTACTTGGATGTAGGTAACAAGACATGATATTAAGGACAAAAAGGCTATGGGAACAATGCCTGAGGCTTACCCTCATCTGATATTTGACAACTTCTCTACTAAGGTAATGAGTTTAAAAGTAAGCTTCACCTTAAGTCCTTCAATTATAATGCATTTCTACTTTTGCTTCTTGGCTTTGATTTTTCTCATCTTTAACGTTCATGAACTTCTTTACCTATAGTCCATTTTTTTATAATGTTTCATCCAATTATATTTTGACACTCCTTCCATGGTTCAGCAGCAAATAAGATTATGGGTTTTACATTTCTGTTTATTAAGAACTAGAAGTTGAACTTGTGTGGTTGAGAATTTGAGATTTATGCAAAGGTTAGAGAAATACTACGAATAACACAAGTCTTTTCCTAAAGCGAATCATGAATCTTATTTTGCAAAGGACGAAGAAGAAATCAAAGTACCTTTTTTGGGACAGAGGTAGTATCGTGCATCTTGGACTAAATTGTTCACCGACAACAACCTACCTAGTAAAGTCCCACAAAGTGTGTGCGTGGTGGTTTACACATACCTTATTCCTACCTAGAAAAGGTAAAGCGTTTATTTCCCAAAGGTCCCCAACTCAAGCATTAAATACTACATCTTCTATCCCAAAATTAGGTGCTTGATTCGGTTTACGATGATCGGTTGAAGTTATTCTTAATTCCATTTATTAGAAAATCGGTGTAAAAATAAAATAAAATTTATAAAATTAAAATTACAACACAGGTTCTACAAAACAATACGTAACTATGAAAAACCTTGTGGTCGAGGGGCATAGTAACTGTGGCTCTCCGAGTAAGTAGGTTTGAACCTCGGCATTGACTCTTTGGGCTTGAGTAGGTTGAGTAAGTATGTATGGACATTTAATATATTGTAATAGAGTTAATAGTTAAGAAAAACAATATGTGACTTAGACTGTTTTATTTTATCAAATAATCAACGAAAATATATGCATGGAAAGATAATATGATTTGACCCGGTGAATACTAATGTGAAACCTTGTTTTAGGACACATGGAGTAAATTTTTTGCAAACATTATCCAATTTTTTGTTTTCATTTTACTTTTGTGAGCTATGTTCTCCAAAAATAAAACTAGAGAACATGTCTTTCATTTTTCATTACCATTTTCATACATTTTCCATCACAAAATAAAGAGTAAATTCCATAATTGGTCCTTTATAACAAGGGGGTTTCCATATTTAGTCCTCTATTATTAAATATTACCTCCGTAGTCCTTTTTTTAAGGGTGCCTTTCCACAAGTGGTCCTTTTTTTGATCTTCCGCCATGTTGGTATTAATTTAAAGGCTAAAAGTATAATTTGACATCAACATTATATCCAGTGACGTGTTTTGATATTGGTTAAGCGGATAACACAAAAATAATGACTATGATTGTGGGCTAGGATTCCGACGAAAGACCACATTTGTAGACAATGGTTGTAGTAGAAAGCGACTGTAATTCACAAACGACGGAAATGGAACAGCCTTTGGAATTGTGTATGACAAAAAAAGATATATTATCATTGCGAAATTACATTTTTAGCCCTCAAATTAACACCAACATGATAGAAGATAAAAAAAAGGACTATTTATGGAAAGATACCCATAAATAGACCTGGCAAAACAGAACCGGAACCGATTACCCGAACCGAAATATCCGAAACCGAAACCGGAATGATCCGAAAAATGAAGATCCGATCTATAACCGAAAACCCGAAATGATCCGAACCGAACCGAAACCGAACTAAATAATTCATATCCGATTTAAATCCGAAACCGATTAGATCCGAAACCGATAATATCTGAACTGATTAAACCCGAAACCGATTAGATCCGGACCCGATAATACCCGAAACCGATAAAATCCGAAACCGATTAGATCTAAAACCGATAATATCCGAACTCGATTAGAACTAAAATCGATAAATTCAAAACTATGTTTACCTTTCAATAAGCATATTATATTTTTAAATTTTTACTTTTATTTTACCATTTGAACTAGTTACATTACTTGCTCATTCCCTCATAAAATGGATTATCTTCTTGAAAAAAAGTACAAATTTTTATGCTTTAAATTTATTATATGTAGAAATTAAAGATAAGTTATACTCCCTCCGTCCTAATTCTTTCTTCCCAGTTTGACTTTTCCCCATTTTTAATTTTTGGCTTTGACTTCAAATTTAACCCTCCTTAAAAAAGATTTTTTGAATTTTTTTTTGCAATCATTCAAAATATAGTTAGAAGATAATTGGTGTAAATACATTAGGGTATTAATGTCATTTGTCATCTTTTTTTTCTAATGGGAAGGTAGTTTTAGGACGGAGAAAAAGGGGAAGTGGGAAGAAAGTTTTAGGACGGAGGGAGTACATATAAATGATAACGCACAAACAAATAAAATTTCCGTAATTTTTAAATAGTGATTTACCTCAATTTTTACCAAATTCTTTTCAAATGGAACATAAGACTATTTGAATTTATCTTTTATCCTTTCATTTATATACATAAGTATATTAGTAGATGTGAGAAAATTTTTATATTTCAAAACTAAATTTTAAAATCAATTTAATTATATTAAATTTATATCATAATTAAATATATATGTTTTCATAATTTGTAGTCCAAATTTGTAAAATATGACTAAAAAGTCAAAAGGGGAAAATTAGAAAATAATATATATCCAAAATATATTTGATCCGAAACCGAAATATATCTGAACCAAACTAGACCCGAAACCGAAATATATCCGACTCAAATTGTATCCGAACCGAAATCTATCCGAACCGATTTATAACCGAACCGTATCTAAACCGACTCGAAACCAAACCGAACCGAAAAATGTATAGAACCGAAATCAAATCCGAACCGAAATTTAACCGATCCGAATCGAACCGAACCGATTATAACATATAACCAAAAGATATCCGAACCGAAAAAATCCAACCCGAAACCGATCCGGTTGATCCGATTGCCACCTCTACCCATAAAAGAAGGACCACTGGGGTAATATATGATAATAGGGGACTAAATAGGGAAACCCCCCTGTTATAAAAGACCAATTATGTAATTTACTCCAAAATAAAATATTTGTTAGTAATTCAATTACTCAGAAGCTTAATTGGTCGCCTTGCCCCTTTTCAATCCGCCACAAGAGTTCGAAGCCCCACCCTAGCAAAAAATACATTATTCTAGTATAAATATATCCTTCCAAATTCCCAGTTCAAACCCATTTACCTCAATCATGATCTTCCTTATTTATTGTGTAACACAAGGCTTACAGTAATCTTGGAGCTATAGAGAACAGCATAAGCAGCTAAGGCATTGCCCTTTTCAACTTTTTATTCTAGCTATCCAGACTCTATGCCAGTTTGAGTTACTAGATTCCAGTTACCAGGTTCCACTTATCAGTTTCTAGTTATTATTTTGTTTAGATTTATAGTATATTGAATCTAGGTGCCAGTTACCAGTTTTCAGAATCTAATCTCTAGATTCCATACCCTAGTTACCAAAGTACAAATTTTAGTTAGCAGACTATAAAAACTGGACTCCAGTTAAAATTAAGGCAAAAAATAGGCCCCTAATCATGCAAAGGCATAAAAGCCAATCCCAACCGTATTTCCACTTTTGACTCACTTGTCAAATCATTGAAAATATTATTCTTGCTAGTCTGAAACCTCTAGGCTCCTGTGCTTGTCTCCACACCTCCAGCCAACAAACCATTATGTCCCTCGTGAGTCTCATCAATCAGAACACTGTTGTCCACATAAAGCATGCACCGAGGTATGCCCCTTTGAATATGTCTCGTCAAAACATCCACCGTTAAGGCAAACAACAAGAGACTAAGGGTAGACCTCTGATGTAGTCTCATCTCAATCCGGAAGTGATCCGAGTGACCGTGGTCCTTGTCCCATGAATTCCATGATGCATGTCCTTAACACTCAAATGGGGGCAATTGGCACCCACTGTACTCGATGCATCTCCATATGATTTCCTTAGAGACTCGTCATATGCCTCCTCCAAGTTTATCAACACCATGTGGAGATCCTATCTATTTACAGCTCCATCAGCCTCATTGGGGATGAATGACCTCAATGGTTGACTGACCTGGCATGAATCCAAATTGAGTTTTGATAATGCTCACCTCTTTCCTCAACCTCGTCTCTATGACTCACTCCCAAGCCTTCATGATGTGAATATGTGATAGAGTAATTCGATGCCTCTATAGTTGCAGTTCTGTATATTGCCCTTGCCCTTATACAAAAGGACCATCTTGCTCTCCCTCCATTCTTTAGGCATTTTAGCTGTCTTGCAAATAGCATTTAACAACTTGGTGATCCACACCAACCCATCATTGCCACAATGTTTCAAAACTCTGGGACATAGTCATAGAATTTGCTGCTACAGCTGCGTCTTCCGTATTGGTACATGACATACCCAATCACAATTCGCTTGCGATCCGAATGTCGGCCGTACGGCGTACCAAAACACAATCCGGATCTGTACAGTTCCGCAGTTGAAGCTAGGGTTACCGATTCAATCTTACTATCGCTGCGATTCAGATCGCGAGAGAGATCAGGAACAGAGATCGTCCGGATTGGCGGCGGAGATGGCGATCAACGGAAACAATTTCAGGAAAAGAAACAAAGCAACCCTATTTTGACGGAAGCCACTGTCTACTACTGCTTTTAATAAAAAGCACAATACCTTCTCTTTTCTCTTTTGGGCTCAAATTTTTATTGGGCTTAACTTGCTTCTAATTTCTTTTTACCATATTTTTTCTGCTAACCTTTTTTTTACAGTTATCTATTGATATTCAGAAGTTTTTTAACTTATGTTTTGACTTTTGGTACACCGAACCGAATACATGGTACACCGTATCGCTTCGTACCGAAACGAGCCTACCCCCATTCGTACCGAATTCGTCATCTCTAGTGAATTTTGTACCCGAACCGGAACGTACCGCGATTTAGGTGACTATGCTTTGGGATCTCGTCTGAACCAAAAACTCTTCTTCCTTTCATCTTGCTATCTGCTTCCACCAACTTCTTCCTTCCAATGTGTTGACATTACATGAAATTTCTAAGACTCTCAGATTGCCCAGCTCACCTAGCAGCGCATTTTCTTCCTCTCCAACATTTAGAAGTCAATAACAATGATCATTGATTGAAAATTCAAGGGAAACAGTCTCCCATTTTCCTTTTTCGAGAAATGTTTGTAAAATATACATGCTCCCTCAGTCCTATAAAAAGAGATTGTCTCATAAAAAGTGTCAAATGTTAACTTGCATTATATCAAATGATTTAATAAAAAAATATATGCCAAAAAAGTTAAAATTATATTTGATGATTTCTATGAGTTGTACCTTACCAAAAATAAAAAGTTGTACATGTAAGAAATATGACCCTTTTTATGGCACAGAGGGGATACGATTCATTTTTTATTTTCCAGTTTTTCATATAGTAAACACACCCAAATCATTTTTGGAAGTCAACAACTTAGTTAGATTCCACAAATGGGAAGCAGTTTAAAAAAATCAAAGACTTATAACAAAGAAATAAATGTTAAGGACCAAAATATTAAAACACACTAGTTGAAAGATGAATTCTAGAATTTGAACTACTTTAAGGCTTGTCTAGCATCAATCCAAGCTACCAATGCAAAAAAACAAAATGGTATCTTTGACCATATTTTCTTTTTTCTTCATTTATGCTGAAACTCTTGACACTTTAACACTGTTCAGTTTGCTCCTTTTATGTAGATTGTTTTTCCCTTTATGTGATTGCATCTATCTTTGATTGTTGTAGCTTGGTGAAAGAACTGTAAATATTCTAAAGCATCTGTTTCCAGTTCCAAAGCCCGACACGAAACGTATTATCACATTTGCTAATCAGTCTGATTTTATCTCATTCAGGTGTGTTATATACTTTCTTAATTTTATTAGCCATTGGGTTTTGGTATATATTCTGAAATGTCTCAGACTGCATTTCAGATAGTGGCTTGTTAAACTTAATATAGGCCTTTAATGCTTGCTGCCCTAGTTAATAGAAGTAGGGCTGACAAACAGGTTGGTTGTGTCTGGTTCAATATTTTCGGGATTGGTGTACTTCAGGTTTGGGTCAATTTGGGTTTGGGTTGGAAAATGCATGTTCGTGGTCCAATTTCATTGGGTTTGGGTTGACCCAATGGATTATGAAGTTTCTTTTAGAACATTTAAATGTATTCTAACATTTTTATTTTGCATAAAATGTAATTAAAATAGTGAAATGTGTCAACCAAAGCTATTACTCCCTTTGTCCCAAATTTTTTACAATTTGACTTTTTTGGTCAACATGCTACACACTACGATTAATAAATATAATTTTACGTAAGTAAATCTTATAAAAATTTGATATATTAAAACTACATCTTAAAATGAATCCGATGATAACAAATATACATTATAATTAATATACTTTTTCCACAATTTGTGGTCAAATTGTGTAAGAGTTTGACCCAAAAAAAGACAAAGTGTAAGGGTCCGTTTGGTATATGGAATTGATGAAATTGGAATTGAATTGGAATTGAAATTCCATGGGATTCAATTCTATATAATTGAATTCACCAATTCCAATTCATTTTTTGCACTATCAATTCCAAATCCACATAATTTTTGTGCTACCAAACACAAAAATTGGAATTGAGAACTTCAATTCCAATTCCATAGTTTGAAATCCGTGTACCAAACGGGACCTAAGGATTTTTTTGGGACAGTGGAAGTACAAAATTTTTGCATTCTTGATTAATTTTTAGTTATATACTTATATACTGTGATATTATAAATACAACAAAAAAAATTAGATATGTATAATTTTTTTAAAAAAAAGTAAAATAACAATATAATATCAATAAAAACTTGTCAGAAAAGGTACATTTATATCATAAAAGGAGTAAAAGGAAAACAGTACTCCTTCCGTCTTAAAAAGGTCTTTACGTTTACTATTCATATGTCAAAATAATGTAATCATGTCACCTCTTGTTTTATAATCCTCTGTCCCACTATTTGTCTCATTCAGATGTTGGTTTTAAGTATATATGTTTTTTTTAAATTTTGCACCAATTTGTAGATGAATTCCATAAAAAAATAGTTTCAATAAAACATGGTAGACCAAAAAAGGGACAAATAATGCAATACAGAGGGAGTAGATATTTTGTAATTTTTTAATATATAAATTCTATTTTATTTTTACACCAATTTTGAAATAAATGGACAACAACATTACACCAGTGCCTCAAAGGCTCCCGCCCATTGCGGGGTAAGGGGGGTTGGATGTACGCAGCCTGATCCTATGTTTAGAACATAGAGCGACTTTTTTCAGATGACCCATGATGTGTGTCAAAAGAACATTGACTATTTGCTACTTCACTATTGAAAGAAGCACATAGAGCCATTTTGCTTTATTCCATCATACCCCAAAGCCAAAAAAACAGTGAATCTTTGGCTCCAACAGAGATGATGGAAAAAAATTGAATTGGAAAAAATTTAATTCTAGCATTGTAAATTGCAACGTAAAGTTATTTCTGGGACAGAGGGATTACTATTATAACATGATTTTTATCACTTTAATTGAGTACTTGATTTTGAAAAAACCTTGCCTCAGTGGATCAACCTGGTAGGATTCAGGTTCGGTTTGGTTGGACTCATTTTAGCAGGTTATTTTTGTGTTTGATGCTCTTTAGGTTCAATTAACAAAATATTTGTTCCAAAAAATGTTTTTCGGTCGGGCATTGGGTCGAAAAGAGATTGGGTTATTTTTTGCAAGGTCTAAATAAAACCAATATTAGATCCATTACCATGACACATGATGAATATGTAGTGTGAGTGGTATGGTTAAAGAATATTTCTTAGAAGAACAATAAAATATCATATGAAAGAAATATAGCTTTCATTTTCTGTGTGGGGTTTAAGCCGAGTAGTCAACATGTATTGACAAATCATTGAGATAATATTTATAGAGTCTAAATATGGCCTTATATAAGCTTCATTTTTTCAGTGGTTTCTCCAATACTTCGTTCCAAAATGCAATTCTCACTCACAAGTTCAATTTGTATCTTATTTTCTTATATTTTTTTCATTGATGATTTGATTAAATAACATAGTCAAGTCACCTCTAATTATGTAGAATACATGATCTTGTTTTGTAGATTATAAATTTATTTTCGATTGTACACAAATTTTCAAATAGTTCGAATTAGAAATGACTTCATTCAAACATCTAACCCGTAACAAGAATATTAGTTTTGGATGGAGGAAGTATCTAGTATGACATTATATCATGAATGGAAGTCCAATCTTGAGAAAATCTCCAAGGCATAAACTATAATGGTTGGTAGCTTCTTGCCTTTATTGGGTACTGAACTATGCCAGAAAATTGCAGACACCATATCTATGAGAAACGGGGAGGTCCCAAATCAATTGAACTGAAAGAGGTTGGCCCTCGATTTGAACTTCAGCTTCATAAGGTAACTATTGCTCCGTATAATATTGAAATTCTTAAAAAAACCAATCTGATAATAGTGCTTTTAAAAGGTTGTAATTTTATTTTCAAACTTGTATTTGAGCATTTGGTGTGCCAAACAAGGATCTTTGTTTACATGAATGGGGATAGCTCCAAACACAGACACACACACACACCAAGAGAGAGAGAGAGAGGGGGGGGGGAGGTGTGTACTGCACTCCATGGCCCATGCGTCCCCTAATTAGGTTCGCGGGGTTTGACTTCAGGGAGTTTAAGAAAAGTGTTGAAAAGTGAAAAGTGCCGTTGAAATTTGTTTCGAAGAGAGAATTGCTAAGGGTCCAATATTCCATCCTAAAAAAGGAAAGTAAAGAAGTACATATTTGATTTTGAGATGGACGAATGCGGCTAAGGAAAGTCTTAGCCCCTAGGCAGGGTGACGGGTATTGACGGAGATTATTGAACAGAGCTGCACAGCATATTGTTTTGCTATGTGTGACTTTTCTATCATGCACTCATTGTGGTGTTCATTCTCCCCCTCCCCCCTTACAGATCCAGCTAGGAACTGTGGATCAACAAGAAGCTCAAACCGAATGGGTCATGAGACCATACATGAACACCTCCAAGAAAAGGAACCTTCTTGGGCAGTGACAGTTCGGTTTCATTCTTTTCATGAGTTTGGCCATACAAGAGTTTTGCTTGTAAAGAGAGCAACTTGGTACCAAGAGGTTTGTGTTTGTGCTGTTATACTTTAAAAGGATTTGGCTCTCTGGGTTACTTTCAAGAGGGTATCAGTTTGCTATGAGACAACCATTTGGTCATTTATCTGGATTGCTACTTAGTTTCAGACTTATCCATTGCCCCATGTAAAAGTTTGGATTTGCAGAGGGGAATTTGGGGAGTTGGAAATTCTATTCTTACATAATTATATGTCATTTCACTTTTATTGTTGCACACTTATTTTGTGTGTTTGTCTTTTGTTTGTCTTAATTTTCCTTCTGGAAATAATCACCACGGTTCCCATGACATTGGAAATCAATGTCATGGAATGACCCGAAGTCCCTACGGTGTTCCGCTCAAAAAATTGATTGTTCCTACGGTGTCCTTACGGTAGTAGAACCTTGCTTTTATTATAATTATATTAGACAAATGTGTAAAAATGAGTACTTCTTTATTTTAAAATGGGTACTACCTTTGCCAGAATGAGTACTACGTATTTCGAAATGAATGTTTATATTTGTATGAGAACGAGTACTACTTTATTTCAGAATGAGTACTACCGGGATGTACCTATTTCTAGGTACATCTAGATGTACCATATACCAACTCAAGACTAACTATTATTTCCATGCAAGGTTCTAGTGACATTAACCCCTAATGTCATCCTATGACATGAGCTCCGTTTGAGGTCCTTACGGTGCTCCGTTCGAAAAATTGATTATTCTTACCCCTCTAACCCCCCGGTAACCCCCCCCCCCCAACTCGGCCCGACCCGAACCAACCCCTCCTCTCCCGTCAATTGCACCCCACAAGATGTAGTTGACTTTGGAGTCAAATTTTGACTCCAAAGTCAAGTACATCTTGTGGGGTGCAATTGACGGGTGAGGAGGGGTTGGTTCGTGTCGGGCCGAGTTGGGGGGGTTTACCGGGGGTAGGAACAATCAATTTTTTGAGCGGAACACCGTAGGGACCTCGGGTCATTCCATGACATTGAATTACTAATAAATAGCGTAGTGTTCATTCTTAAAAAAAACAATACTCATTCTCAAATAAGAAAATGTTCATTCTGAAATAAAGTATTGTTCAATTTTTTCACAATTAAAAAGTTCAGTACCATCATCAACTTCTTCCTCTATTCGATTCGTTCCTACTCATTTATACTCTCTAAGCATGGATAATTTAAAACCTAGGTTTATTCATGTTTGTATTGAATAAGAATATAATAATTCTCATAAGTGCTGGTACTCTTCAAATCTGCTGGTACTCATTGTCATATATAATACTACCTTCGTCCCATTTTAAATTACCTGTTTGCCTTTTTTCTCCGTCCCAAAATAAGTTGCCTGTTAGTTGTTTTCGTAAACTTTTAAGGGTAAAATGCCTAAACTACCTCTAAAATAAGTCACTCTTCTCCACTTTATTTTCTCATTCATCGTTATCACTCCTAAAAAGTACTGACAATTTCGAAAAATCAACTCTATTTTTTCTTTTTCTTAAATATGCCCAAAAGTCAAAATAGGCGATTTAAAACGGGACGGAGGGACCGAGGGAGTAGTTCTCATATATGTTCTGGGCATTGGATAAAAAATTTGCAAAATTTACAAAAATACCAGGCTGTACCTAAAGGAAGGTACAGCTGGATGTACGATATAATTTGCCGTTAGTCTTGGTCCTCTTGGAGAATGGGCCTTCTCCTCTTTGTGGAAGCAGTCTTCACCCTCTTACCCCACACAATTACACCATCTTGTGACTTTCTGGTAGTGCTCTTTCGTATGTCAAAACTTGCCAGTGATGCATATTGCATTGCTTAAAGAATGTGATTTGGTCTTCTAAATTTGTAGAAAGCATACCGACTCTAGGTTTTGAATCATTCGGACATGGTTGAATGAAACCTTCGTCACATCCGAGATGGTGTTTAGTCTACGCTGATGACTTTATTTTTGGTAATTTTAGTGACTTCTTTAGAGTTTCCTTTTCCCGTTGGGCATATGTCAAGCTATTTGATTGTGAAGTTAGATTAGTGTCTTAGCGTACAGTACAAAAAACAAAGGATTGGAAATCTTTTCTGTGATCCCGTAAGTATATTTTAACGAGTGATCCTCGAGTTTGGTTTGGATCCCGTAAGTACATTTTAACCTCATATTACTGAATTGGTCACTTATGTATATCTTAGTGTTCTTCTATAAATCCTCAACATTAATTATTTAAATTGGTATATCTTAGAGTTATTCTAGATGCCCTTAACAATACTCATAATTTTTACAATCATCAATATATTCATTTTTAGTCATTATTCAATCATTCAAAATTATTATTTTAATTAGATTATTCAATAAAGTTCGATCATAAATAACGTCAATAATAATCATCATAATATCCAATAACAAATAGTGGCCTAGTGTCGAGTGTTAACACCCTAGCTTACTGTCATACATCGCACAAGGCTCTTGGATGATCAAAATATCATTTTTATTTCCAGAAATTATTTTTATATTGATCATAATTGATTGGTATCAAAAATAGAATTTAATAGTTTAAAAATCAGGTTTTTGGGAAAATATCGGTTTTGGACGGTACCCAGTACGATACCTCGATACTGTGTCATGGTACCTTGGTATTGATCGCCGTAACCATCCACCGTCAAGGAAGCAGCCGACGGTAGGAGACATTCATTGCCACGGTAGTAGGAGGCTACCGTGCCAGCGGTACCTAGGTACCGTCCGGGCAGTAGCGTGATACCGTTCTACGTATTAATTTTTAACAGTGTCATCTTCAACCTCGGACCAATTTTTAGAAATACCATTTTTAGTCACCAAACTTCAATTAAACTATGTAGAAATATTCTCCAATGTTCATAGATCATTTTGGTATCATTAATTTGTAGTTTTAACAACAATTTCAAGATTTATGATTCTTGATTCTTCAAACGTGTCAAACACAAAACTCAAACAAACGACTATTTATGAACATAGAAACGATCTATACGAACATTTTGATCACTAGATATAGCTACGGGCTTACCTCGGAGCTTAACGATGATTCTGGCGATTGAATGGCAAAACTTCCGGTGAAAACCACAGCTTGCTCTGACGACGAGAAGCTTTCTGAACAGCACAACTTTGCTCTCTATACTCACAACTCTCTGAAGAAGGAAGAATGGTGTACTCTGTTCGTTCGGTGTTAGTGGAGGGAGCGACGATCTCTTCTGATTTCAAAAGCAAGTCCCTGATTGTGACTAGTTTCAGTCCCAGTCGGGGTACACTTTTTGGTCCAACTTTCTCTGAATTAAAATACGATTATACCATTGTCACTAGACAGTCAAACACTACTACACAATGATATAATTTTTGTTATTTATTGATAGACTTTATAAATTACTTATTTTTGAGTCCTTCTCTGTAAATAATTAATTATTACGAGTAATTAATTAATTTTGATAAACTTATTTTTGGGGCATTACAGCGGGCCCACGACTGGACACCCTATTACACTTGCCTGTCAGATTAGTTGTAGCCGCCTTATTGTCATCCATCGTTTGTAGCCACCCTAGCTTGTAATCCTATTGTTGGCGCCGTTGGTCGAACAACTTGACCTCGATGGGCCCGGCCCGTTGGGCCATAAACTAACGTTTGGGAAGCCCAATTGTGTATTGTATAAATACCCCCTCTGGGAGGGGGAGACACACGTTCACTTGGACTATCAAGCTACTATACTTTTCTCTACTCTTATAACCTAACGCACTCAGTACTCGTTCGATACTCCTCTACCTAGTCTCCTAGGTCTCGGGTTCTAAAACCCATCAAAATGTTTTTTATCTAAATATGTAAATTACTCGTATCAATTTTTAATGTTAACATAGTTCTTTATTAGGATTAGTTATTGGTGTTTATATTCTTAGTTTTTAAAGTTTATAATATGGTTTAAAATGTTTAATTAATAGTTAAGAAAATAACTTTAATCGACTAGTCAATTATTTTTATTTTTATTTCTATGATTTTTTACATATTATATATACTCTTATAAATAAGAGAGCGTTTAATTATTTTTAATTATATTTCCATGACACCAAGTATTTATACACCTATTGTTTTGGAATACCTACTATGCCCCGTTTATAAAAATGACAGTTCCTACTCCTCCTAATCCTTCCCTTAGACCCCCACCCTAGCCACCCCTCCCGCCACCCTCCCTACCCTGGCAGTATACTACCGGGGAGTATATATACTGCCATGGTAGGGAGGGGGCGAGAGGGAGGGCTTAGTGGGTGGCAAAGGTGGGGTTGAGGTGGAGGTTTAGACGAAGGATTAGGAGGGGTAGGAACCATCATTTTTACAAACGGGGGACCTTAGGTACTCCACACTAATTGGTGTAAGCAAATGTCACTAATAGCACTAATGTCATTTTAGACTTACTCTATAAATAAAGTGAAGTACCTAAGAAAGTTCGGTTTATTTGGTTCTGTTCGGTTTTCCAAAGTAAGAACTAAAACGGAAACCAAAGAATAACGATTTGGTTGTTTTACATTCGGCTTTAGTTTTTTTCTAGTCCGTTTCGATCAGTTTTGGTTCGGATTGCAGTTTATGGGTTTCCAAACCCAGCCCTAGACAATAGTATGCATTTTTTCCTAATGTAGAAAAAGTGGGGGAAAAGACTAAAGTAGTAGTAAAATATTGAAAATTTACCAACATAGGAGTTTTATGTTTTTTATTCTCGAAATAAGAGTTAAAATATATTTAAAGTGAAAATCATAATCATGTACATTACTAAAAAGTACAATTAATTATACATATACAATGTCACATTATAACTCATATTAGTGTTTTAACCCGTGCAATGCACGAGGTGGAACGAAATATTTTTTTATTCTACAAATTTTACTTATTATATCACCATTCAAAAATCGAATAAAATAAAACATAGACATTAAAAATTAAAAGAATGATATAACATATAAGATTTGCTAATAAAAATTGTACTATATAAATTTGGAAATTAACATGTCAAAATCTTATTTAATTAAAAACTATTTGAAAATTTTTGACATATTTATAATTTTTTTTTGTGAAGTTGCAAGTGCTACCACTGGCATCCAAAACTAATACTCTGAGTACTTGTAATCATACTTTTATAATTTCACTCGCAAAACAATAATATAAAGTTTAACTATGAGTGAATATCAAATTGTTAATAAATGATCTAACAATGACAATAATTTGTTTTGACTTTCATTAATAGTTAAAGCAAAATATAATATAAACGGTTAGGAATTATCTTCATTGAAACTTCAAAGATAATCCATAATGAAATGATACCAAATTCATTTGACATGCTAGGACAGTTGAATTTGGATTTCAAATTCGTATTTGGCTCAAATTCAAAGTTTGGGAACTTTAAAATTTTAGATTTGGATTTTAGACAATTTTCTCTAATTCATAACAGAGCTCAATTAGAATTATTTATACACCCCTTTGTCATTTGAAATTCATGAATTCAAGTTCTGTAATTGAAATGTAAGAAGTGCAATGAAATGTTTGTTTCCAAACATTACATTAGGGTATGCAGACTTTCTCAGTCACTTTGTTTGCTAATACTGAAATTGCACTGAAAACCATTTTTCACAACTCTTCAATGACTAACGTTGTACCATTATAGAATTCAAACTATTGTTAAATGTTCTTCAATAACATATTTGATAATACTCCTTTTAATGACACAATGTTTGGCTTTGACTTTTATTAATAGTCATAGCGAAACATAAACTGTTAAAAATTATCTTCGTTAAAACTTTAGCGCTAATCATTGATCAAATGATATCAAATTTATTTAGGGTATGTAGACTTTCTTTCGACTTTATTTCTTTGGTGTATATCACTTACACTTTAAATATAATTATATAAATTTATTTACTAAATTTTAACTAACTTATGATTCCTATTCCTCGCATTAATTCAAAAAAGTATTAATGAAAAAGGCATTAGCAACCCAATGATTCTTCTCCCTCACATTAATTCAAACCAATATGGATTACCAATCCTCTGATTCTATGATGAAAAAACATGACTCTTCTTCCTGCATCCATATAGATTAAAAAAGTTGATTCATATCCTCGCATTATTCTGATGTTGATCTCCTTCTTGGTATCGATTAAAAAATAAGCTTCCTATTTACCCCATAATTTAAAAAAATGAAATCTTGCAATAGTGACTATATGATTTTAAAAAATTAAATTAAAAAATATTAAAATTTCAACGATGATTCTTCTCCAATGCACTAATTCAAAAAAAATAATATACTACTCTTGTCCCGGAGTTATATTTTTATTTCATTTTTTTACTTTTATTTAAATTTAAAAGTCCATAAAAAATGTGTTCGATTCTATAAATATTTCTTAGGTTTTTCTAAGACTCTATTCGTTTGAATACTAATTCTTAAAGTCTGTTATTTTGTTGAGAGAAAAAAATACTTTTTCCAGGAAATTTCAATTCTTCTTTCTTATACACGCTTGGTTGCGTAAGGTGTGAGAAATGAGAATCTTTTTTTAGGAAAATTACTCTCTTAAAAAGAGAAAATAACTTTGTTTTTTTTCAGGACAAAAGTTCATTTTTCCCGAGTACCATACCCTAATTTCACAAACAAAACATGAAACTCCCCCACCCATCCCCGGTCATCCCCTCCCCCAAATCTTAGAGAGTGAAGCTCTATTATATGTAGATATGGTATGGATGGTGTATAAAAAACAAACTATGCTGTCTAGAATATTTTTAAACAGTCTCAAAGCATTTTTTGTTTTTTATTTAAATATCAATGGTGTACTATTCCATACGTCAAAATTTAAAATTTGCATATGACCTTTCGCATTCTCCTTTATAATATCTTGATCATTAATATCGATATTTATATTTTGATATACTTTATAAAAAACAATATTTTAAAACTATGTTTCAAATGTAAACTATTGATATTACACTTGTTTCAAAACACAATGTATTTTTCTGCAATTTGATTTAAAGTTTATAAATTTTTATAAAAAAATGTCAAATGTGAAGATTAAATCCGAACGAAGGGAGTAATATAAAAATTTCCCTTTTCCAGCAAATAATGAAAATTTATTTGTTTGAAAAAAAATTCCTCCAATGAGACAATGGAAAATGTGAAAAACAATGCTTCATTTTTTTATGAAAATTATTTTTCCTTAGAACCAAATGCACCGTTAATTTTCAATATTTTTCAACTTCTTTTTTCTTTCCAATAATTTTTTATAGAATAAATCACCATTAATAGATGTAAAATATAGTATTTATCCTCAAAACACGAGTTCCAATATTTTCCTAATACTTTACAATTTATACACTAATGAAGATTATGCCAAAAATACTATTTATTTTATTATGCTAAGAAATTTGTGAGTCGCATATATGAATTTTAGTTTCCACTCAATTGCATAAAATTTCATCAAAGTGCTAAACGATACTCGTAATAATAAAATTTCTTTTGAATAAATCACCAGTACTGTATATCCTAAAATATAAAAAATAAAACAGAAATCACGTGTGTGTGTATATAGATATATATATCTCTGTGTGTGTATGTGTATATATATATATATATATATATATATATATATATATATATATATATATATATTCTTAAAGTTCATCAACATGCTATATCATTTTTTAATTTAAAGCATGATTCGTCCAATATTGTAAAGCACAAATCGCCTAATCATCAAATTATAAATCATAAACTAAAAATATTTAAACTCAAACATAAAAAGAGATGGATGTGGAATGAATTGAAAGGAATTGTCTTGTATATATATTTCTTATTTTTCTTCCGTCTTGATTTGGTACAACCAACCCCGGTTTCTTTGTATTAAATCGAATGATTTTTTTTGTTTGAGGCCGAGATTTAAACAAACGTTTAATTACCCTTTGGATATCTATCATTAAATTGGAGGAAATTCATGCATTTAAAACTCATCCTAATCACTCTGTCTAGGTGTACAAAAACTTGCCAAGTAATCATGACACTTGTCACTCTTAGAGTATCTATTCTCAAATTTTATATATAAAGATAAAGATTTTGGAGACTACATGGAGCTTCTATATTTTTATTTTAGGATAATTTTTAAAAGAGGAGAATGATAAGTGGTAGGGACTAGGGAGTATGGACTAGGGAGGACGCCCATTGTAAGGGTGCCCTTATATCCTATAGGTGAAGCAGATAGGGTTTGAACTGAATCGCTGACAGGGGAGAGGGAAGAGTGCGAGTCGAGCGTGTCGAGCGAGTCGGATAGAGTTAGAGAGCGAGTTAGGGTTTGTTAATCTGAATTGCCGAAGGTCAGTGAGTGCGCTTATATTTCTTCTGTAACGTTTTTAGGTAAATGTGTATGCTTCACCTGAGAATTACGGGAAAATGGTGAGTTTTTTGTGGTATATGATGAAGATGATAATGTTTATGCGTGAGAAAGAGGTGTGTATATTGTGTGCAGGATTTCCCCTTGTCTTCGAGTGTGAGCGCTTGATTTGTAGAGAGGGAGGTTGTGGGATCGAGAGAGCGCAAGAACAACAGAAGAGAGAAAGTTTGAGTAAAAGTCTAGTGACTTTTTAGATTTGTTGTTGCACCCCTTTTTGCCATGTCTGAGAGGAAGCTTGTTGTAAGTGCAATTTCTTCCAGTGTACGAATATATGTTAGCTATTTTCATTTATGAGTTGCCTTTTGAAGGTTTTGGGCATCCCATGGGATGTGGATACAGAGCGCTTACAAGAATATATGCGCGAATTCGGGGATGTGGAAGACTGTATCGTGATGAAGGTTAGTCTTTGTAGTCAGTTTGATGGTTTATCTTCTCTTTTGTTTTAGTTATATGAAAATGGTAGTGAAAAGATCTATCTGGCGGAGAGAAATGTTTATATCCTGTCAAAAGTGAGATCTTGCATCAGTGCACCAAATGCCTAAGTATTGATGCACGAGTAGCTTAAAATGTTTGATGAACAAGTGGTTAAATTGAATGAATCATTTAACCACGAACAAGTAGTTGACATGCTCATAACTGATTCAACCAATTATTACTCATGTTTAGGAAAGATCCACTGGCCGTTCTCGTGGATTTGGATATGTGACATTTGCTACCGTTGAAGATGCTAAGGTGATGCTTGTGTTTGCAATTGTTTTACATATGTATATTCATTCTTGCCTTTTAATCTTGGTTTTTGATTCTTTTCAATCTAGAATTCTTTATTCAATGCCCTGTAATGACTTTCTTCTACGTTTCTGTATTGCAGAATGCCCTATCGAAGGAGCATTTACTTGGAAACAGAACGCTGGAAGTTAAAATTGCAACTCCAAAGGTTGTACTAGTTAATTTATCTTGTGTATGTCTGTATGTTTTTCTTGTGTTTGATCTTCTTAAACTTCACAAAAGAAGTTTTTGTTTTCCTAAGTAATGTGAATAGGTAAACAGTTATTGTGTACTCTGTATCTGCTTGTGTGTATTTTTTAGCATTATTTAAGCACTCAATTTTTGGCAGGAGGAGATGAAGGCACCTGCCAAGAAGGTGAGCAGGATTTTTGTGGCAAGGATACCACCAGCCGTAACAGAATCTATGTTCAGAAGGTATTTGTTTATCCTTTTGAATCGAGCTACTTTATTAAGTTTCAACAAACCTTTCATCATCACCTCCATCATCTTAATCCCAACTATGAACTATGTTGGAGAATCAAGATGGTGTTATTAAATAATAGTATCATTTAATTTACTAAAACTGGGGAAGCTCTATTATAAAAGAACAGTGTTAAAGCTTTATATTGGATGCCCTTTGTGTCGCAATCTTTTGAGAAGGATAATGAGATAAAATTTCTTGACCACCACCACCATCATCAAATATTTTTCCATTTGCATGGAAAATATTATGAGATGAAAAAGATTTGAGCTTCTTGACATAGTATTGTTCCATTGCAAATATGATATTGCAAATCAGCATGCAAAACGTAAAAAATAAACATTATTTTAAAAGGCTTTAAGTGTGTTGGTGTGTGCAAGCCAAAGGCAAGCACCTCATGGTTTGCCAGTGTAACTCTATGCTAAAATGTATTTATTTTTCATGTACATGCTATCATGTACTCAAAAATGAGAATACCATAAAACAACAATAACATTACCTCAGTGCCTCAAAGGCTCTCCCGCCCATTGTGGGGTAAGGGGGTTGGATGTACATTACCTGACCCCTATGGATGACCCATGATGAGTGTCAAAAGTTGCATTGACTAAGTGCTACTTCACTATTAAAAGAAGCACCGACATTTTAAAGAGTCATTTTGCTCTACCCCATCATACCCCAAAACCAAAAAATAAGGAATTTTTGGCTCCATCAAAGATGATGGAAATGATAATACTATAAAAGACCAAATCAAATACCAAAATCTCCATAACCTTCTTGCTTAAACCATCAATGGCCTTCAAGAACATACTTTGAATGGCTGAATATGAGGTAGGCATAAATTTCATAAATGCTCTTCTGTGTATCAATTCAACCATCACTGACTATGCTTACAACCTTTTACAGACAATTGACTTTTAGCGGTTTCAGTCTTTTACATTTTGAAGCAAAGCCATTCTCTCTCTCACACACACACACACACTAGTGTAGTTGACATGCTCTGGCTTTCCAATCTTGCAAAAGAGCCATATATTTCCAAAGAATGCCATGAATTTAAAATTTTTGAGTGGCAAATTTTCTGGTCAGAGAAGCAGAGGAAGTGTGACTGCTACCTGTTCCAGTCTCCTCACTTCAAAACATAAGAAACTTATAGGTTTATGAACGTTTTTAGACTTATTATCCATCCATATAAGGTTAGAAAATAACTCTTTAAACTTAACTATCCAACTAATGAGCAAAAAAACAAACAGAAAATAATTGAGATGTTGGCCGGAGAGCAAGACTCAGCCCAAAAGACGGAAAAACTAAGCACTAACCAAAAGAATGGAGAACAAAGAACAAACCAAGAATTCTACCTTGGAGACTGGATACCTGGATGAAGAGCTTGAGTTAGACTGACTGCCAATTATGAGTCAATGCCTTCATGAGAGGGATATCGAGAAAAATAAGAAGACTTCAGAGAAAATGATAATTGATAACAGTAAGCAATCATTGTCAGGGTTGTATCTATAGTCGTTCAGCAGGGTTGTGGTAGGGAAATCCTTGAGGCAAATAAACAAATAAGTATTTTAAAAATCAGATTTATAAAGAATGTGCCCCTACCCAGCCACACACACATTGTAGAGTACCCAAAAAATAAAATGAAAGAATTAATTGCTGGTTACGTGCCTGCCACCTGGGGATACTCATTGTAGAGTACCCAAAAAATAAAATGAAAGAATTAATTGCTGGTTACGTGCCTGCCACCTGGGGATACTCATGCATAACCTCAGTACCCCAAAAGTTCCTGGGTACTCATGCTTTAGACATCCATCTAATCTAGCAAGTGCCCCAAGTCATAGTCACCACCTTCCTTATCATCATTCATTATTCTAATTTATCATTTGTTATTTTCAGCAGTCTGTCGTAAATGAATAAGATCAATGGTATCTTTCCTTTCAAGTCTCTTTTTCAAAGTGCTGTTGTATTTCATGAAATTCAAGTCACTCAAGAAATTCAAGAAATTTGTGCCAACTAATGTCTCTTCTTTAGTATTGAGTTTTTAGGTGTTAAAAGTAAAATTATGTAAACGAAACGGAACTGAACAAATCCTTTTCTCACTGTAAAGTAGGGTCTTGAGAGGATGAGATGTACACATACCTTGCCTCTACCCCAAGGAATAAGAAGGATATTTCCCTGAAATAGAGGGAGTTTTTTTTAAATTTTTAAAATTTGAAAATTCTTGAAATATTTTTTTTAAAAATAATTTTGCAAAAATATTTATGCTCAAAATTTAACATTAGAATTTAAAAGCATTGGAAAACTGTGAAGAATGGTTTTATGTTAAAAAATTAAAACGTGCATCCTTAGAATTCCATAGCAGTAATCCACTAACAAATATCTTATGTTAGGAGTGGATTCCAAACAATTCCACCAAACCGATGTTTGAATTTTATAATTTTCAGAAGCAAGAATGTGCTCACATATTCCATATTGTCAAATATGAAATCTTGTAATATGAATTCATTACCGGGGCATTTTAATTTCCTTTGCCTTGCGGATGTTGGAATGCCATACAAGTCTTGGGTAAATGAGTGTGCATCTGATTTATTGATGACCTTGTCTTGATCTTCAACACCATGAACAATCTATTAATGTAAGAATGCAACCCTTTCATTACTTATTCATCATGTGTTATTGCTTGCAAATTATTGAGTGAGAGTATTGGGTTCGAGTTACTACATCTTATAAAGGTTGATAACACCCACACATATGTCTAGCGTCAACAACAACCCGGTGGGATCTCACCAAAGTAGGGTCTGGGAGGGTGTGTGTACGCAGACCTTACCCTTACATGTCTAGCGTCAATGATCTCAAATATTTTCATGTATCCCATCTCTCTATTCACAATTCTTAGCATGAGAAAGTGATTGTTGTTTTATTGTTCGGATGGCTGCTGGAACATCATTTTGACTCCTTTTGTGAAGTCTATGTTGACATTGGTTTTAATAAAAAAGCAGTAGAAAGTTTTAGATGCACCCATTCCAAGAAGGCAAAGCCACAATGCCTCGTGCCAACACAAGGTGTCCTGATCTGTACGACACTTGGAACTCATTGTACCCAAACTTCCTGCCATCCTGGGAAGATTCTCTTATCGCATCCCTGCGTGTTTTTCAAAACAAAGAACATTAGTTTAAAGTTCCACGTTTAATGACCTGTTTGTGTGTCCTGGAGTGATTTGTCGACACATTGGACCATTTGGAAGTGTAAGTCTGACCATGTCGTGTTTTTTTATTGCAGCTATTTTGAGAAATATGGTGATATAACAGATCTATACATGCCAAAGGTTTGTATCTCTTTGTATCCTCAACTTGTCCCATGGCTACTTCTCTAAGATGGTGGCTGTTACTGTTATCAAACCCTTTTTATGATATTTGCACTTAAGTGATCTCATTTAAAATACTACCAGGATCCATCCTCAAAGGGCCATCGTGGAATTGGTTTCATCACTTTTTCTAATGCCGGCAAGTGTTTTTTCTCCTCTTTGCATAACCTTGATGTTTTTTTAATTTATTAATTGATGTTATTTTAGTTTTGACATTCGTCCAAAGAATTCTTTGGCATCTACAACTTATTTAATGTATTTATGAAGTCTGAAATGATCTCTTCCTTTCTCAGAGTCAGTTGATGACCTGATGACTGAAAGCCATGAACTGGGAGGTTCAACTATTGTTGTTGACCGAGCAACTCCAAAGGCAAGTGTCACTGACAGTATCCTCATGCTTTTACTTATTTCTGTTTTCAGTTTCAACATAAAAGTGGAGTGACGATGCATTCCTTCAAAACCGCTTAACAATTTTTTTCTCCATCTTAAAACCTTTCTGATTACCAAAAAGATAGAATTATAGAATCTATATAGTATACCAGATTACCAGTTTAAGATTGCAACTTTTTGGCTTCATGCTTAAAGGCAGTTGTTGGAACTTTGAAGTTGAAACCGTACATTCATTTAATAGATGCAGTTATTTTGTTTTTAGGAGGATGAGCCAAGGCCAGTAAGCCGTATGCCTCAGGTTGGTGGATATGGAGCATACAATGCTTACATCAATGGAGCTACTAGATATGCTGCCCTTGGTGCTCCTACAATGTATGACCAACCAGCTTCTCTGTATGGAAGTAAGTTCATATTGACCAAACGAGGATATATGAGATGAACACTATCTTTCTCTATAAATGATTATTTGCTTAGCTTTGAAGTATTTTTACTTCAGGAGGTTTACCCTCGCGTGGAATGGGGAGAAAGATATTTGTTGGAAGGCTTCCTCAGGAGGCAACTGTAGAAGATCTCCGCCAATACTTTGGTCGGTTCGGCCGTATTTTAGATGCTTATATTCCTAAGGTAAGATTTGCATTTGTAATATTGCTCGTACGATATAGTTGGATTCTTGGCTGAAGTCCACTTTGTGCAATAGGATCCCAAGCGCTCCGGTCATAGAGGTTTTGGTTTCGTTACATTTTCTGATGATGGTGTTGCCGACCGTGTTTCTCGAAGATCTCATGAGATTTGTGGACATCAGGTTCCCTTTTTTTATCATTGATATTTCAGTCCAGTCCTCCACCCCTTGCCGGTGGAGGTAAGGAATGCATACATCTTACCCTCCCCAGACCCCACTTGTGGGATTACACTGTTTTGTTTAATTTTTTTTTACATCCTAGACACATTTCTGAAACGTTAAATTTATTTTTTACTGGAGTTGGCACGTGATTTTGTTTGGGTCCACTTCGGAACATGCAACAATTTGAATCTTACATAAAATTTTTGATCACCTTGTAGGTTGCAATAGATTCTGCCACACCACTTGATGAAGATGCTGGACCAAGTAGTTCTGTTATTACCGATACTCACCCAGAACCATATGGGACCTATGGTGGCCCAATGCGTACCTATAGCAGGATGTATGGGGCCATGGGTTTCGATGATGTGAGTTTTGTGTATTTTCCTTCATTTATATGTATGTGTACACACACACACTTACATCGTGTAAATTTATTAATATATTTTATTATTTTACTGTCTACTCTGTACTTTTGTACACCGATTGTGTGTTTAATATTTTTCTAAGTCCCTCTATAGATCATCCCGGCACATATTTATCAATGATTTTATTTTTACAGTGGGGATATGGATTCGGTGGTGGCATGGGTGGTGGCATGGGTGGTGGTGGTTTTGGGCGAGGGAGATCTTCCCGGACAGATCTGAGGTATAGGCCTTACTAGTACCACACGATACAAAATGTGGCCCCTTTCTGATAGCAGCAGGCATGTTAGTGTGCTATATTAGCACTCTCCCAAAGAAATGAAATGCTGAGGCTGGTGGAGTTATTCTTGAATCGTTTGATTACGGTGTAACGTGCATGGTTGAGGTTTTTTTTTAAAAAAAATCTTATTTTATGGGCAATCAATTAGGCTTTTGTTGAACCCTAGAACTCTAGAATTGGATCCTACAGCTTAATGTAATGTATACCATTGACTCACAATTTTCAATGTTATTGTTGAGCTTGTTGCTTTAGCTATGAATGCCCACAAGGCATATACATTTTGATTTTCTTGTATCTTTGTACCAGATTGTGTCTTATGCCATTTCTTTGTGATACTTCCCTTCCACCTTTAAATTGCCCTTCCTTCCATTCTTTATGTGAGAGACTACTACACTTGAATTATATACTGCTAATGTTATTCACATACTTTTGATTTTTTTTATAGCAATTTTCTTAAATTTTGTGAAGTCAAAGCGATTCTTTTGGGGATGGGGGGAGTATATTTTTTTCTTTTCAAGCCACAAATTGTTATTCCTTTCACGGAAAGCATGAAATGATTAACAATACTTAACTTGACATTAATTTTTAATAATGTAATTTTGTATTTTCTTGAACTTTGTGAATAAACAAATGGGAAGTTAGATGGGATAATAGGTAAATGACCTGATACAAATTTAATTATAAGTTTAACAAACATGCGAGGATTGGATTATCTAATTCACTTGGGGGTATAAAAAAATTGAAAACTACAAATCAGATTGAAAATAACCAAACCAAGTTAGAGAAAACTAAATTGGATATAAAACCAAAATAGAATGGAAAAAATTGAAACCAAAACGAAAATTGAAAAACAAAACGGTTGGAAGGTTAATGCAAACCATTAATCACAAAATTTTAGATTTTCATCACATCAATGATTTTTGGAAATATTCGGTGTTGGAGGCCTTACAGTTGGCTTGATAGATTTACAAATTGTGATAACACTTTCAAGTTAATGTATTGTATCTAAAAAATTTAGAATAAATTTTATAATTGGTCTTTTATAACAGGTTTTTTCTCTATTTAGTCTTCTTTTATGAGTATCTTTACACAAATAGTTCTTTTTTTATCTTCTACTACGTATCATGTTAGTGTTAATTCGAGGGTTAAAAGTGTAATTTCACAATGATAATATATCTTTCCTCATACGCAATTCCAAAGGCCGCTCCTGATGCATCATTTGTGAACTACAGTCATTTTTTACTACAATCATAGTCTACATATGTGGTTTTTCATCAGAATTCTAGCTCAAAATCATAATCATTATTTTTGTGTTATTCATCTAACCAATATCAGAATACGTCAATGGATATAAGGTTAATGTCAAATTACACTTTTAACCTTTCAACTAACACTAACATGGAAGAAGATTTAAAAAACCATTTGTGGATTGACACCCATAAAAGAGCTATGGAAGTAATATTTAATGCTAGATGACTAAATATGGAAACTCTCCTTTTATAAATGACCAATTGTAGAGATATTCGATCGTGTAAAATTGGTGTGTCAAATGTGTTGTATCTGGACCATAAGGTAGCTAGTACCAAGATTTCTTGGCTATCCTTTACGAGTTACAACTGAGTATTTAACGGCTATTCTCGACCGTAAGAAGATGTATAGAAAACACAAAAATATGTTCTACACAACGGCTTAACAAAAGAATGAAGAACAACACTTAGCCAGCGTAGAACAAAAGATATACTCTCTAGAAAAGATACAATATCAACCTATAGATATGAGAGTATATATCTAAACCACAATGTAACACTCCAACCCGCATAACCCCAATACCCAGGTTAGTAAACTGGGTTTCTACTAAATTGGTATCCAAACACAACTCAATTTTAAAACAATTTTAAAACAATTTAGTTCAAACTTAAATATCCATCGGAGTAATTGAAAAATTGCAGAAGCTTTTAATAACAATCTCAATAACTTGGGAATCAAACCCGTAAAAATAGTACGTGCTTTTATAATAATTAATAATTCAAAATCTTCAATCCCATCCACACACATCTCTTCGTCCTCATCGCCCTCCAGGATTGATTCCAGGTTCCTCGTGATCTTGATTACCTATGTGCAGCAAAGAACAAATGCTACACACTCAACATTGAAGCTAGGTGAGAAATATCTAACATTTAGTTATAAATATAAACGACATCACTAACTCATACTAACACACAATATCATGCATACAAGTATATTACGAATATCAGCATAACAATTTGATCCATAAACACTATCAACAATGCAATGTATTATATTCTCATTACTTTAGTCATTTAACTTACATGCACTGCTGATAACTTATTCTAGGTTTAAACTTATAGTTATTCTGACTTGCTTATTGGAGTCATGGTCTTCCCCTTCGGAACAAAGATCATGCTCGACCAACTTGGGAGTTCCTCATTGGGTAGGTGAGATCCATGCCCCATTCGAAACGGCAGTTCATAGATTCTCGTGCGTATGTTTGTATCCGAATAGCCATTCGACCTAAAAGGTACCACATGGCTCTAACATTTATATACTTATGGCATAACTTGCCTCTATTCCGTTCAAATCAAATCCTAGGGCCGGTATCTCGCTACCATCTAAAGCGATAACCCATGTTTTTGTACCAGTTTGATTTTACAGCAACAACCAACATCCAATCCCGGAAAATTCAACGTGTTTGTGTTCATTACTCAATTCTTAACTATATCCAAATCTTACTATGATCAAACCATAACAATTCATGCTTTCATTTCAATAAAATCATTCACAATCCAATCAAACTATCACATATAGGGTTTCACATAGATCAACTGCAATGATTATACGAATGTCAGATTCAAACCTATAGATATAACTCAACGTTAGATGTCCACGTACTCACCTTGAATTTGAAAGATACTACGAAGAACGAATCTAACGAACGGTGGTGAGGGTGTGGCACGAAGGGCTTCTCTTCCTCTCTTCTTCTTCTTCTTCTTCTTCTTCTTCTTCTTCTTTTTAATTCCTTCTTCTTCCTCCTTGCTGCTTTGTGCTGTTCTAGCCAAGAGAAAGAACGAGAGAGAGAGAGTGAGAGAGTTCGTGCGTGTTGGGGGGGGGGGCAAAGTGAATGTTTAGGCGCACAGGGGTACTAATTATTGTTATAGGGTTTCGTACTCCGTAATTAATAACGTACCTCAATATAAAACACACTTTTCACGCCAACTTCTCTAAATTCAGATCCGTTTGTAGCGTACGATTCGTCTCGCCGAACCCTACACAATGGTATAACTTTTATATTTTCTTAATGAATATTTAAAATAAACTCTGGGCCCGTCTCAATAATTAATTAATTACTCCTACTTATTTAATTCTGGTAGACCGAGTTTCGAGGCGTTACACACAAGCTCAATAGGTGTATAGAATTTAGGAGAAAGAAGCTCTTGATAAAGCTAAATAATACGAATAAAGAATTAAAAGATGAACACACTTAGAATATAAAATATGAAGTTTGAATCTTGGATTCATGTTAAATTATTAATGATTAAGCCGATATTTATAGTGGGAAACGTTAATTAGCCATTGGGGATTAATTATGGTAGATTTTGATCAATTAAAAGAGATTAGTTTTGAGATCCGAAATTTGAAAATTCTTCCTACGATAACGATATCGAAGTACCAGACAGACGGTAGCCAGGTTCCGGACCTACGGTCATGGGGTACCAGTCTGGCAATCTTTAGGTATCGACACAGGCCATTTGGCTTTAGCAGAAATTGCACCAAGTGGTAACAGGGTATTGTCCAAACGGTAGGGCATATCGTTAGGGCAGTAGGGGGTAATAGACTAGTTACCTGTAACACCCCAACCCCCACCCTAGCCGTAAGCGTCTGCTTATAGGATTGTAGACTGGCCCCACAAACAAACACAAGTCTTTTAACATATGCCCTCACTCGTGCATGCCCTGAGAACTTCCAAGGAGGTCACCCATCCTAGAATTGCTCTAATTCAAGCATGCTTAAGTTTGGAGCTTCTTTGTAATGAGCTCTCGAAAAGAAGATGTATCTTGTTGGTATGAGTAGTACTATCAATCCTTTTGAAGTTTGGAGCTTCAAATCAGGGTATTAGATACACCCCCACTTAGGAATGCAACGTCTTCGTCAAATCCTTTTCTTCAAACCCCTAGATCTTCCCCGCTATGTGAACAAAGCTCATTAGCACTTCACGGTCGCAGGGTTGCTCTGATACCATTTGTAACAGTCCAGCCCCCATCCTAGCCATAAGCGTCCGCTCATTGGATTGTAGACTAGCCACGCAAACCAACACAAGTCTTTCCCATGTACTTCATCCTCACTCGTGGGCGCCCTGGGAACTTCTTAGGGGGTCACCCATCCTAGAATTGATCGAAGTCAAGCACGCTTAACTTTGAAGTTTCTAAGTTATGAGCTCTCCAAAAGAAGATGCACCTTGTTGGTATGAGTAGTACTATCAATCCTTTTGAGTTTTTTCTTTCCCCAATCTATTTAGTTTCAAATCGGGGCATTACAGTACCAACTACTGAGCAAATTTTCCATTTTTGGCTAAATCTTTTTTGTTTGAGTTTACAACTTTTTTTGGATATTTAAAAAACTTTCAAATGTTTAAGATTAAACTTGCGAATTTATGCGTTCATTCACAAAGGGTATTGGGAGTTAAACTAACATTCAAATTTGTTTATTCTTACATTCAATCGTTTCTATTTTTTGATCCGTTTACAAAAATCTAAAGAATTTCCATTAAGCAACAACTCAACCACCACCAGGCTCCTGGACCTTGCTACGAAACTCGTTAATAATGTCTTTTAAAATTCTCGTCTGATCTAAGTAAATCTAATCACTTAAAATAACCAATGTCACTAAAACCACCAACCATCTTAACCCAATTTGAAAGCCCTAGTTTAAAGGCTAAAGTTCAGAGTACTGCATGGAGTACAAGCACAATTGTCTTTAGGTTCTCAGGTTGTTTATTAAAACCATTTATTTAAACGGGTTAAGTTTAATTCATCTTGTTGAGTTTCCAATCCAAACCAAACTCAATTAATTAATTGAGTTAAACGCGTCAACTCATTTAATTAACCCGGTTGAGAAGTTACACCCAAATTTGGTGTAGGTGTAAATGGACCTTTTTAATTGCCAAATTGACCTAATCATGAATAGAAATGTCACAGTACATCACCTACTTGTTTTGTCTATTACCCATCAATTTGAATTCTGTATGGAGTAATTATTTTAATGTTCATCTTTGACCATAATTAGCTTCCCTCCCATATCCTACCCCCTGAACCAAACACACCTTAAGAGCTCTAAGGGTCAGATGGTACACAACAAGTTCCCCAATATCATATTCATGATGGTCTCATGATGTACACAGATCAGTTCCTTTATACAAAATTGGTACAAAAACCTGAGACACATACTGATGTGGGCTACCTGCAACATATCTCACTAAGAATGAATAGTGTTGAAGAAGTTTGAGAGCCGGATCTAAGCAACGGTATGGCAAGAAAAACAACTGCCAAACGAGACCTTAAAACGCTTCCCAAAGGGCACAGCTTTGTTTGAAGCCTTTTTGTTGTGTTTTTCAGAAACCGCACCCCTCATCTCTTGGGCTTTTGTCTGGGCATACCTGAGCTTGTTCAAAATCTTGTTCATAGACGCCGACCTCTTCTTCTCAAGCTTCATCTGAAAATGCATTTGATTGTGCGGTTAGGATTTATGCAGAGGAAATGGAAAGAGTTTTGAGTCACAAAACTCTTTCCTTGAAAGGAAATGATGCCTCATTTTTAAAAAAGGGAAAATGATGCCTCATTTTAGGACAGCGCAAAAAGGAAACTGAAAAGTTCTTTAGGGGGCGATGGGAATACTAACAATATAGATTCAGATTGATTTTTTCTTTGAATTCAAAGTTCAAACATCCTAATTGGTATTCTACCATTCTGAAACACACCTCCAGTTTTTGAATTGCTGCTTCAGCTTTTGCCTTCTGCAAATTCTCCCATGCACTGATCCTAGCTTCCTCCCTTCGAATCAAGAAAGTGTGGGGATATGTCAAAATACATAGTGTTCCACAGAGGATGGTTTTTTTCAAAAAGAACTTAAGAGCGAACAAAAAGAAAAAAGAAAATAAAATTCCAGATAGATAGCAAATTAGCATACTTTGATACACTTCTTGTTGTCGCATCAACATTGTTCCAAAGTGACGAGTCAATGGCATTTGGTGACCCTTTCTCCAGTTTTCTTGATCTGTGGTTGGAAACGGAGTCACCTCTGTCCACTTGTACATCTCTGATTTCCATTTTAGGAAAGTGTTTGTTCTGTTCATCGGCTATGGGGATTGGGAGAGGAAAGGAACACAATGACAAGCGTTCTTTGGGAGAGGAATGGGTACTCTCATCAGGGCTCATCTGCGTTGCCATATCTCTCCTTGAAACCACATGCAAATCGTCCGTTTCTGCAACCTTCCCCATATCAAGCTTATCATCTGTCAAATAGTTTGTCAATATTTACCCACTCTAGTTTTTTAAAAAGAATGGAAGTTCATAGAGAGTGACTGAAACGATAACCTAAGGGTATTGCTAAATCCACTCCCTTTATGGCTAAATCCACTCCATTTATATAAAATGAACAAATTTACCCTTAAAAGTTGGCAAACATCTAATATCTTTACTATGTGTTTTAAAGGCAAAATTGTTCATTTAACCATGACTGTGGTGGATGTAGCTATAATGGGGGTGGATATAGCAAAACCCATAACCTAATTACAGAGATGAATTACACAATTTTTTTTCAAGATTCTAAAAGACACAAAAAAGATGTATTTCGAGGGCCTAAAAACATATTTAAGCTAATACCTTGAGAGCTTGGTAACGAGAAGGCTTCGCTCAACAAATCTGATAGACCCGGCACACTACAAGCTCGAGCAATCCTTTTATCAGCACACATAGAATTGGCCTTTGAATCAATGGCAGCACCGTAATGAATGCATAAACCTTCAGGAACCAGAACACCAGTTGTAAACGGTGAACTCCCAGTGAAATTACTGATAACTCCTTCACCCTCAACAAAGGGAACTGCTGGTGAAAAATTCGGCATGTACATAAGACCTGGAGTTCCAAGGGGGCCACTTTTCGACTTGGCATGCCTGTGAGGTTGAACAGCTGATGTCTTGCAAACTCCATAGCTCGACAATGGACTAGTGATCCACCTCTCAGCATCATCCCATTTTGACGGAAATGCCCTTCCGTTATTACTAAATGGCATCAATGCAGTTGCAGTAACATTCCTCCGGTTACTGTTTGTGGGTAATGGGACACGCTCAGAACACCAACCTTTTTGAATCCCACCAACATGCTTATCACCATACTCTGGTGTTGATGGGCTTGTATACGTACCCGAATTTCGCAACAAAGTAGAATTTTTCCTCATGCCCTTCTATAATTCAACCCTAGCTAGGTATAACCCAAATCAGGCTTCTAATAATTTGCCAAATCTCACCAATGATTTCATCTTATCTGAACACAAAAGCTGGATGGTTTCAAAATGTAAAAGAAAATAATCCCAAACTCGACAACTTTCCACTAATTCTATAGAACCCTATGTAAAGATTTAGTCTTTTTTCTATTCCTATTCCAAATAACAGCTAAGCTATAACAATCTCTCATTCTGGGTTGAAGAATATAATGCAAGTCAATAATGCCCTCCATTGAAATCAACAAAATCTAATCTTTCGGCATTACAATCAAGAATAAAGGTGCGGGAACTGGGAAGAAAACCAAAAATCAAGAAAAGAAGGGTATAAATGTGAAAAAGAATGAATAACAACAGTGGGTGGTTTAGAGAAGCTCACCTTCGATGAACTGGTTCAGTGGGCAGCTTGAGTCAGGAAATCAGCAACCAAGAATGAGTAGGAAGACTCAGTTTTCCCAAGAAAGAACCAGTAACTCTTGGGGGGAGATTACACAATCCAAAATGGAGATAATTAAAAAAGAAAACCAGCAAGTATTTGGCAAGGTGATTGGGAGATGCTCTATATCATGGGCAAGGAGGTAAAAGTGCCAGTCTCATCCTACAGAAGCAAGAGAGAGAGAGAGAGAGAGAGAGAGAGAGAGAGAGAATAAAAGGGCATTAATGGAGATGAAGAAAAAGGAAGAAGAGATTTGGAAGGGGATGGAGTTTTGCTGGCAGAAATTTGTCTGCAACAGAGACAGGGCAGGGCATCATGTGACCGAGACGGTCGAAGGGGCAGACCGGTTAGGTTTACTTTTTGGAATTTTGCTCGAAGTTTGATGCGCTTTCTCTCTTCCCCCGGGGTCCTCGCCGTTTACCTCGCGGTGAAAAGTTCATTTTTAACGACAGTCCAACACGCTCAAATGACAACAGACCGCAACAACCCTACGCTACATTCCTTCCACGGTTCCACCCCTACACGCCTATTGGGCTCGGGGCAAGAAAATGTTTGGTAAATGGGAGAAATCAAAGATGGTAACCGATTGGATTAAGGTCCTAGTTCCTTGGTTGAATTAGTGATTTGAACATTTTTAAAAAACTTATACACACACACATGTACACTCCCTCATTATATGTACCTAGAGTAAATTAATTATAATGTTTGACTAAAAATATACTCCCTTCGTCCACAAATAAATTTTCCGTTGCACGTTACGATGTTTGACTAAAATTATTTTCAAATCATTTTATATGAAAAAATGGTGTAAAATTTAAAAATAAAAATTGCATACTACCTCCGTCCCAGAGTATTTGTCCACTTTCATTTTTACACATCATCCAATGGACTTCTTTAATCCATTTTATCTTGTAATTTGTATATTAAAAAATCATAGAAATTATGTATTAATAATCTATATGTAAGACAAATCAAACAAGATCACACATGACTATATTTAAGCTTACACATTGAGAGAATTTGATAAGTCAAAGTGCTTAGATAAACAGTTCCAAAAGTCAAAAGTGGACGAATATAGCGGGACGGAGGGAGTATTAAAAAACTATATCAAAAGATCTACAAAAACTAGAGGTGACATGACTATATTATTTTATCAAATGAGTGACGAAAATAGACCAACAAAGTGAATAGACTTTGACCTTGTGAATAGTGAACGAGAAGTTTATTTGTGGACGGAAGGAGTATTAATTTACTTGAGTTACGTTAATAAGTTTAAAAAATAAAGTTTACATATTTAAAAATAATATTAAAAGTTTTATAAAAGAAGTGGTGATTTTATTTTTTCAAATAAATTGTCTAATATTAAATGACACTCAAATGAAATATATGCGTATGCATTTTGTAGTACAATCAATTATATCAATGATTTTGAGTTTGAATCATAGTTATAGTATTATATTTGTTAAACTTTTTAAAATGAAAAGAAATCTTTAAACAATTTTTATTTTTTCATTATGGAATATTTAGAAACTTTAAGCTAGCTTGTAACAAAAAGCACCATAAGTTAGATGGTTAGCAACTTAATTAACCAAGTATCTAAGAGATTTTAGGTCCAAACCCTTATTGTGTAATTTTTGAAAAAAATTTCCAAAAAGAAAAGAAACTGGTGTCAGATTAATTTGATCGGCCAGTTCTTACTGGTCCACAGCGGTTCACACTAGCTTGAAGTTGATTGCGGTCCAAAGAACTGAATCGGTTGGACCATCGGTTCGCTAGTTTACGATCCAACTTGGCCGATCTGGTCCGGATTTTAGAATTATGGTGCACACCACCCCTAACCTATTTTCAAACGTAAAGTTACATTTATACCCTCCTTCCTCTCTATTAACTTTTCTTATTTATACAAATAAATACAATAACGTATACTCTTTTCATCTCAAATTAAATTTTTTTATTTATGTCTAAAAACAAAAGAAATTTTGGGAGAATGTTACCGAAAAATAAAAAATGAAATAAAATACTTTGTACCATACGAAGCAAAAGAAAAAAGGACACAAAAGGTAATGAAAAAGAAGAAAAAAATAAAGAGAATAGAAAAATAGAAAGATGAAATAAAATAAAGAGTAAAAGAAAAAAGTAGTTTTTTATTTTTTTTCTTTTTCATCATCTTTTATATCCTTTTTTTCCTTTTGCTTCGTACAAAGTATTTTATTTCATTTTTCATTTTTATATATTTTTGTAACTTTCTTCAAGAAAAATATTTTATTTATAAAAATAAATAAATGAAAATTACTCCGGTATTAAATTGGGATGAAGTGCGTATATGATATTTTAATTAAAATGAAAAACAAGAGTGAAACATCATTATAGAGGGAAAGAAGGGTATTAATGTTATTTTAAATTCAAAAATTGGTTAGTGGGCGTGTATGCATGATTTAGAAACTACAGCAGTTTTACAATTAAGAATTATCAAAAGAGAGGGTGCGGGTGCTCCTTTTGTAAAACACCGGAGTATCCGTTCTATTTGTTATACTCCGTATATTTTAGTGTAATTGAAAAAACTATAACCAATAGTATCCTAATAAACCATCAAAGAAATTTGGTGGTGCAGAGTAAACGCTTCATTGAGTTTGTTACGATGAAAATCCCGTTTTATCGGGGGTTCCAAGCGGGCAGCGCCCCTTTAGCGGCGGTTGCCGGTTCGGGGGCAGCGCTCCCAAGCAGGTTTTAAGGGGCGGCAGCCCTTGCAGGGTCTTAGGGGCAGAGGTGGCTAGGGTCGAGATGCAAATTTTTTATTTTGGGCAAAGTTCAATTTAAAAAATTCAATTGAATTTTTATTTTTGAATTTTCTTTAAAGGAAAATTCCTTAAGGATAGCGCCGATTTTCTAAGGGGTTTTACGCGAAGGATTGCGCATCTTGGGTAAAAGACGCGATCGCATCTCCTCTTCTCACCGCAACTCAATATATTTCCGCAAGTCCTTGGTCGAAAAATGTTCGAGAAAATTTCACAGCAATCCATATTCGTTTTTGATACTTTCGAGTTTTATCCGATTGAATTTTAGATTGAACAACCAAAATATTCAATCTGAAAGTGTTACATGCGACTGTCGATTGATCCACGTTTCGTTAATTTCCCCAACACTATTAACCCTTTTAGTGTCAAATTTGGTGTATTTCTAAGGAGAGTACTTCCAAAATCTGTCAAACCTGCATACGCATATTAACATTGAATATGGAGTCACTTCAGTAAAAGCTTGCAGTTTGTTCCTGTTTATCCAAAGCTGTGAAGGTTGTGCATCCCTTGTAGAAGAAGATTTGGACTTATCCACGCTTAGCTCTTATTCCATCCCATCTTTGGTTTTCTTTTTTAAGATGCATGTCATAAAATATCTCAATATTTTCATTTAATTTGATTTTTCGAATCAAACTGGACGAATTTTAATCATCAATTATTTTCAATTTATATCGCATGTAATTATAAAGAAATAAAATCATGAAAGCTCTAAACAAGATAAATCTAATTAAATCATATTTATACTAATATAAATTATAGCTTTTATTTAATTAATGTCTAAAATTTATTTAATTTAATTCTAAAAGTCAAACTAGACAAATACAGAGTACAATATAACAAGGAAAACTTGCTTCATATAGAACTAAAAGGTAGTACGTTTTTAGGCCTAAAAATTTATATCTGGGTAGATAGGGCTCCAGCCAACCCTTGAATTGGCCATGCATATATATACTCCACCATATTATAGAGTAATAAAGTTAATACTTAATAGTATTAAAAATAATTTCAAATACTTAACTATCCCGCCACTCTTCATAAAATTTGAAGGTTATATATACTCTTTCCATCCCAAAGTTAAAACCTTTCTCAATTTGAATCTTAATGAATTTAAACAAGGAATATTTTTATTTTGACTTTCCAAAAAAATCATTGATATAATTGGTAAGAGTAGAATGTAATGAATAAATCTTTAGTAAATGAACATGATGTAATAGATAGAGTACGAACTGGGAGGACAAAGGTGGTTTTAATAAAAAGTAGCATGGGTGGCTCACAAGGTGTGTAAGATGCGCACCCGCACAAGGCCCCCTAACTTTTAAGGCTCAATATCAATATATATGTTCATTATTTTAATTACTTAATATTTTTAAAGTAATATAAATTTATATTTTAATATTCAAATTATTATAAACTAGTTATTAAAAATAAAATTCATCACAAATTTTAAAGTACTAAATATTTTGTAAAAGATAAAATAAGGTCCAACACGTGCCAATCTCAAATTTTCACATATTTGGACCGGCCCTAAAAAAAGAAAAGTTTTTTGAGATGAATAAAAAGGAGAGAGGAAAGATTTTAAGAGACAACGAGAGTATATTTAATATTGAAAGAGTTGTGCTATTGTGGTCCTAAAATCCATCTGTCACATGAAGATCTTATCACGTATTTTTCACGTATCTTATCACGAAATTTTCTAATTTTGAAATAGTCACAAATTATAATTAATAGTTACATAGAAAATAAGTTATTAATATATCCAAAATACAATAAGATAAATATACAAACCTAAATACATTTATGAATTGAATAGAATCATGAACATGTCAACTTAAATTAATAATTTTAAAATTAATCATACAGTAAATAAATCCCTACTTGGTATTTTTAAATGATACTACCTCTGTCCCAGAGTATTTGTTCACTTTCATTTTTACACACCATCTAATACACTTCTTTAATCCATTTTATCTTGTAATTTGTATATTAAAAAATTATAGAAATTATATATTAATAATCTATATGTTAAGACAAATCAAACAAGATCACACATGACTATATTTAGGTTTACACATTGAGAGAATTTGATGAGTTAAAGTGCTTAGATGAACAGTTTCAAAACTCAAAACTGGACGAACACTCCGGGACGGAGGAAGTAACATGCATACATGAAAATAAAAAATAATTTCTCTAAACTTTCCTCAAATTAAATATACTCTATATTTTCTATCGCATGTATGTTATACGGAGTAAATATTTTTAATAATATAAAATCAAATTATATATGATAATATATTTTAAAAACATAATACTTAGAAAGTACAAACTGTTTTTTGTGTGCACACTGTTTTTTATTTTTGTGAATATGGCCATTCAATGTTCAAACATTTTTACATTTATTTGTATTTAACATCAATATTTAAGAAGTAGCCATGTGGTATCCAAGTGGACAAATGAAAAGATGACACCTTTAGAGCATAGCTTATGTGGCGTGACACATGGCGCAACCACATTTAATCAACTCTACTTTATATATATACACTAGTTTTCTACCCCGTGCTACGCACGGGCTTGTTATTAGAGCTCGTTGTCATAATGTTATTGATGCGATGGTTGAAAATGGAGAGTTTGGTTTATGATTTAATTTTCTTCCGTGCTACGATTGGGCATGTGTTAAAGGGTTGTGTATGTTTTGGTTTTGTAGGATTTTGAAAGGCTACATTGTATCTTTTTGTTTTGTGAAATGTGAAGAGTGATATTATTCTATTTTGGGGTTTTTTAATTTGATGTTGGTGGTTGAAGAGATTCATTTTTTGTAATGATTTTAAATGTTCATTTTGGCATTGTACCGGTTGATGTTCATTTTGGTAATTTGATGTTCGTTAGGGATATATGACGGCTGGGCATCTGTACATGTTACTATTGAAGCGAGAATTGCGAAAGACGAACATCAATGCTTAGTGTCTGCACATATTGGCCTACACATTGGCGTTTAATGTTTGAGGTCTGTACGCGTTGGCATTTACTGCCTTGTCACGTATGACATGTGTCAACACTACAACCCCTAAACTATCTTTTACATACATATATACCTACACACACACGCACACACATATATACATATATATATGTGTGTGTGTGTGCGTGTGTGTATATATATGTGTGTGTGTGTGTGTGAAACAGCATAAATTTGGCTAGCCGTGATTTTTACCTTAATGAAGTAATAAAAGATAAAATGATAAATACCTTATTGAAAACAACGTCAGGATTTCTTTTTTAAAAGATTAATAAATTTTATACCTTTTTTAGATATATAACTAATTATGTATGTTACATATTTTTAAATGGTATAACATATAAACTCCAAATAAATACAATAATCAAATAAAATATATTAAGATTTTTAATCTATATACTCCCTTTTAGGATTTTTT